CATGATCACTCAACTCCAAAATCTACTCCAAAATTAATTGTATGTATACTTTAAAATATGATTAATTTTTTATCTGAATTCAGTGAAAAATAAATATTCGCATTTATTATCATAGCATAAACGATAAATTAAAATAAAAAAAGTTAAAAATTAAAATAAGACAAGAAATAAACAAATTTTATTTTAGATTGCAAATCTTGCAAAACCTAAAATAAAATACAGTTAAATAAAAATTGTGAAATGCTTAAAAATGATCATTTCTATCGAATCTAATTATGTTTACGTATTATGTCATTACCTAAAAGAGGGTACAGGATACCCTTGCGCTGGACAAAACAACACGACAGGGGGTCCAGCTCCGATTTCCATCCATACACCCTTCACAATGCCGGTTATTGCTGGCGCTTTGCTTCCGACTGGCTCTAATCATTTATGCAACAAGTGCTCAGCAAGCTGATATTTTTACTCGACACGAACGCTTATATGTTACGCTTACGTGTTTTTATGTAACCTTTCTGATGGAACAAGAGACCCCTTCATTGGCAAGAAACGGAGCAGAAAATTGAAACAAAAAACGGCGCTCAGAGGTAAAATGTGAAACAAGGAAGCAATAACTTGGGCTTGATTTGCACATCGCTCGTGATCTTTTAGTTATATATAGCTAAACGTATATATCTTTATATATGAAAGCTTTACCTAAAGGAGGGCACAGGATATCCCTGTGCTGGACACGGTAACACAGTATTAGATGCTGTTGTTTTTTCCATCCATACACCTTTTACGTCGCCTGTCAATGCCGGTGCTTTGCTGCCCATGGGCTCTAACGTATAAATGAACATGCGGTAAACAATAGCAAAATCATCATTTTAAAGGGACAGGGGACCCTTCTTCAATTAACAGAGTAATATGAAAACAATAGAACCAAATCCCGTCAATCTATATTAATTTAGAATAATTGATAAATTAATTATAATTATATACAAGATTAAAAAGTCAAAATGTATATGCATATGCATTTAAATTACGTTATTAATTAAAATTGAAATGATTAAAAATAAAAACTAAAAGCTCTTAAGAAAGGGATTTAAAAGTCATATATAACAACAAGAATTTACCTAAACGAAGGTACTGGATAGCCCTGCGCAGGACAAAATTGTACAATATTGGAAGTAGCTTTGCTCTGCATAAAACCTCCTTTCAAAATCCCCGTCAACGTCGGCGCTTTGCTTCCGACTGGTTCTAACAATTTATAGAGAGACACGAGAGCATGCTATGAGAATCATCTATTACTTCGTTCATGTCTTTAGTAGGTTGTAATATGCATGTATACCTATACATTGGAACTGGGAACCCCTGCGCGGGACAAAATAGAGTCAGATCATCCCCTCGAACGCGATGGTACCACGCTAGCTTTGCATCGTTAGAGAACTTCGGCTTCTTCGTAGCGACCGGTTCTAATTACATGATAGGGAATGAAGTGAAACAATCCTTGCGTGCTGCAAGTCATCTATTACTCTACCTATGACTTTAATACTTGCTCGTATATACCTATATGTTGGAACTGGGAACCCCTGCGCGGGACAAAACAAGGTCAAATCATCTCCACGAACACGATCGTACCAGGCTTTTTTTGCATCGCTCGAGAATTTCGGCTTCTTCGTAGCGACTGGTTCTAGTTATGACGAGAAATTAAATCAACTTATCATTTTCTTCACATGCTCTGCGAGAATCATTGTTCTAACTACAATCTTAGTATTTCATTTGTATACCTATACGTTGGAACTGGGAACCCCTGCGCAGGACATAGCAGGGTCAGATCATCCCCTCGAACGCGATCGTATCCAGAAAATTTTGCATCGCTCGAAAATTTTGGTTTTTTTGTAGCGACTGGTTCTGATTACATGACAGAGAATAGAGACACTTTCCTCGCATATGTGTGAAAATCATACATTATAGATTTAAAGTTTTATGCATGTACCTATAAGTAGGAACTGGGAACCCCTGCGCGGGACACAACAGGGTAAAATTGTTTCCTCGAACGCGATCGTACCAAGCCAGCTTTGATTCACTCGAGAACTTTGGCTTCTTCGTGGCGACTGGTTCTAATTATACGGAGGGAGAATGAAGTAATCATCACATGACTATATCAAATTCTAACATATTTTAAAAGCGAGGAAAACCGAATAATCATTGCTCGGAATTGTTAATCTATTACTGATAATAAGATATAATAAAAGCGAATATCACGATTTAAAATTCTCAATCATAACGCAATTATCTAGTACCTGGTTACAGGAACAGGATGCCCCTGCGCGTTACACAGCATACTGGTTTCCGATCCGCGGTTACGAACAATAGAAAATGTTTTAACGTCTCCGATAAAGGCGGGCGCCTTGATGCCCATTGGCTCTAAATAAAAGAACAAAAGAATTGATGTCACGCGCCGCAGAAAGATATATATTTCTCATGTCACTGAATACCCTTAGACAGGATTCCCCTCGTCGTTTTTTTCGCGCGATTATTTCGTGAAAGATATGAGAGAAAAATCACAATTGAGTATTGATTCCTCCATTGCGAGTAATAATTAAATATAATTAGGAATAATATAAAAATGCGAGATTGCGAGATATTTAAAAGATTTAAGCTCATCCTTTAAAATGAAATTTTAAAGGAAGTATCTTTTAAATATCATCTTTATTTTGTCTCGTTGCACTTTTATATCAGAATATTTTTTGTAGAATATTTCTACAGCATGTCATTATTACTTGTAAGATGCTGTTATTCGAATCTTTATTAAATGTCGTACCTAGAGATGGGAGGAGGATGGCCTTGAGCATTGCATGGAAGACTGATTTCTGCGTTCGCTTTCCGTGCCAATAGAGATATCTTTGCTTCACCGGCAAAGGCAGGCGCCTTGCTTCCGACAGGCTCTAAAGAATATCGACTTGCCATTACTCCGAAACTAATTTTCGTTCGTGCATTCAAAGCGGGGACAGGGCTTCCTCTTGCCAATAATAAATTGTGCACGTGTATTTATGAAATTCATCATTAAAAGTCTACATTTTGAATAAATATCAGATTTTTCTTCTCTTCAACATAAACTAGCAGCTTTTTTCTTTAAAAATAAAAATAATAACTGTCGCTTTTGATACACTCTCTTGCATTCTTATTAATTAATAATATTGAATTTCGTACCTAGATATTGGAGGAGGATGACCCTGAGCGTTACAAGGCAAACTAACGTCCATGTTCGCCTTTCGCACCAATAGAGACAACTTTGCATCACCCGCAAAAGCGGGTGCTTTGCTGCCAACGGGCTCTAAAGAATGTTAATTTATGTAGGAAACTATTTTGTTTACACATAGCAGGAACAGAGTTTCCCCTTTAAAAATGAAACTCGACCTCAGTCAACCAATATATAAATTGGTTGTTTCTTTCGATTTTTGCCTGCATTGATATAAAAAATTCTTTTTTTTTTACAAGATCAACCTTTGTCAATCATGAAATTTTTCAAAAACTGTTACCTAGTAGTGGGCACAGGACTTCCCTGAGCAGCACAGAAAATACTAATGGGTTGTCCTTCATATCTGCCGATCGTACGACTTAAATCATCCGACGTTAATCTCGGCGATCTGGCACTTATCGGTTCTGAAATCGATGGAAATTTCATGGAGAAGCGTAAGAATCTCTTACGAGAGATTACCTGGCAGTTGGAATAGGAAATCCCTGAGCGTTGCAGGCAAGCACCACGTCCGTACCCATACGTCTAGGATACGCTCTAAGAGTATCATCAGTAGAGAAGATCGGTGATTTAAACCCGACCGGTTCTACGAGAAACAACGTGACGGAATGATCAATCGCTCATAACGTCACATGACGTCAATAATAATAATATAACGCGAATGTGAAAATTATTAATTAAATAATTAATTGACAAGATGTTTCCAGTGGGCGCAAAAATAAAAATAAATTAGAGAAATTTAATGTCGGACATATGGTATAATTAAAAATTCTATTTGTTTTAATGTAATTATGAAAGGAACCGATGAAATATCCATGTCTCACCTCGAAATTGGGACAGGGTAGCCTTGTACCGGGCACATCAGATTTACCGCATCATGCGATTTAGTCTCCATGAAGTCAACTTTACGTATACTTGGCAATTTAGGTTTTGCACTCGAAGTGGGTTCTAAGAAGTGCACAAGAACGAGAACAAGCATTGTTAAGCACGGAAACTGGTACTATTACTGACCGCGTAATGGGGACAGGGAACCCTTGAGCGGGACAAGTCATTGACACCGCGGTGGAGCTAGGTGTCGGCCTCACCACTTTTATATCAGCATTTGTGAACTTTGGTTTTGCGCTGGACACCGGCTCTATATTGAAGGAACGTTAGAATGTCAAATATGTCGATGTGCATTTCACGAATGCTGAGACTGGGTATCCCGAGAATCGGAGGCAAGACTAGACAAAATTGTATTTCAAATGCAATATGTGTAGAATGTTATTTAAAAATAAAAAAGAAAAAAAAGAAAATGATTGTAATAAAATAAAATAAAATAAAACTTAAAATAAATTATAATAGAATAATTTAAGTTAATTTAAAATAATTTATAATAGATTATAATAAAATAAAATAACACAAAACTTTTTTACTCCAAACTAGAGTCAAACAAGAAATAAAATTTTTCTTCTCAAAAATTCGAAATGCAAAGTATCCCATATTTCAAATGTTTATATCAATTATGTGTACATATGTGTACATCTGAAATGTTCCCCTAGGTTGAAATAGAAAACGACAGTTATTAAACTTTTAAAGGCCGAGAAGAAATTAAGCGGAATTGAAATGTTTGAATAACAAGGACGCGATTAAATCAGAAGGAAAAATCGATGGCTTCCCTTCAATATCCACTTTCTCTCGCGTTTATTCAATCACTCTTTACATCGTAACTGCGCATCAACCGATATATTCAGAGACAATCTCTATACATTTGATATACCTGTAGCTCGGCACGGGGAACGCTTGAGCTGGACATGGCAAAGTTAATGGATGATCACGTTGCACTGTGTACGTCGTGAGGGTACGAGAATTTTCTGTCATTGGAAATTTCGGTTTCGTACTGGTCACCGGTTCTACAAAAGGAGAACCAGATTTATCAGAAGATATTAATTGTTATATAATCATCGAAGTAAAGTTAATAAAAATTCTATCTATTCATTCAAGATCGAATCATGTGATATATAAAAAAAGAGGAGACAAATTATTATTCAATTAATAATTCTTGAATAACATTTACCGTAAATTAATAATCTTCTATTTTAATACTTAAGAAAGGCCATACACCGGGACAAGGTAACTCCATATTGGCAATCAGCCGTCTATATTGACTATCCAGTGCTCGGCAACCATCGTGAAACACTGGCAAGGATAATTACTTGCCATGACGTGTCCTCGGTGACTTCACCCACCACAGGCGCGATCAAAGACCGTCCTGAAGCAGATGGCGAGGATAGCTCTGACTAATATGAAGTTAAGGAGCAATTTACCTGAATGCCGGTACGGGAAACCCTTGAACGGGGCACAATAAAGTCGCGACGGAGCCCACTATCGCATTCGGATTTGTCGATTTCACGTCCAGCGCCGTTAATTTCGGTTTTGAGCTCGACAATGGTTCTACAGGTCATATCAAAAATACACACGAGCAAATATCGAATCGTTTGGCCGTAGAAAATCGATCGAAATCCGCGCGTTTTATATTTACAAACATACGTACTTGAAAACTGGGACAGGATACGCTTGAGCAGGACATTGCAGTGTTAGACCTCTGATTTCCGGGATCTCGAAAGAACGGCTTTTATCGATAGTCGAAAACTTGGGCTTCGCGAAGCCGACCGGTTCTATAAATTAAACTTATAGTCAAGAATAAAACCGATTTTATTAATTATTTATTATAGCATTGATTTTATGAATTATGATATCGATATATTAAAACATTTGGAATTAAATTTCTAAAAGAAATTATTTTGTAGAAATATTTTGTAGACATATTTTGTAGAAATATATAAATTAAAATAAAACCGTATCAAACAATATGAATCTATACAAGAATTTATCCTCAAAGGGTTGAAAATTGAGATTAACTACAGACTTCGTTTGTTCCGAAGAAATCGATACTGGGACAGAGTAACAGCCTTACGAAGAAGACACTCTCACTTCCCCTCGTAATTCTTCTTCTTCCACGACAATATACGAAAGATCGACCAATACATCGACCTACCTATACGTAGCAACCGGAAACGCCTGAGCCGGACATAGCAACGTAATGCCCGTGCCTTTTGTAATGCGCAACCCAACGTCGTTTACCGATGGAAACTGAGGCTTGGTGCTCGACGCGGGTTCTAAAAACAGAACGCTAGACAGTCCGATATGCACAAAGCGGCACCAGGTTATTTTAGATATGCTGGAATAGGGTTGGCCCCTTTCATCAACATCGATAGACATTGATACCGAGCTAAGCTGCATTAATAGCGAGCCAAGAGTAATCTAACCGAATCAAACTATCATAGCAGGAAGAGACACGCTCTCACACATAAAAAGATTGCAACAATAGTATTTTAAAATTTTCTAATCGATCGTTTTAAAATCGACTGGAGCACAAAAATCTTTAAAAAATCATGCCCGAAATATGTGTGAAATAATTAAAGTTTTTCGATAAAACATTTGTATTATAGAATACTGTGTAAAAATATAGATCCTTGATTTATTAACATTATGAAAATAATTAACTATTACAAACGCCTACCTATAGAAAGGTACCGGAAATCCTTGAGCAGGACAAAGCAGAGTAACGTTTCTACGAGAAGAAACGCTAAATCGTTGAAGATCACTCGAACCTGATAATTGCGGGCGCGTGCTGGACGCTGGTTCTGAGTGTAAAAAGATTATCTTTTGCGGTAGAAGCACACTAAGAGGTCTTTACCTGTACGATGGAACGGGGAACCCTTGGGCAGGACACAGCAATGTCATTGAACCGCCGAGATATACTTTGAACGTCTGCGAATCCGCCAGCGACGGAAATTTCGGACGAGCACTTGCGATTGGTTCTACGGAAGTTCCAAGATGTTCGAAGAAATATCGATAAAACGAGATATATTTTCTATCATTTATGTTATCAATCATATAAACTGAAGATAGAATATTTACGAGTATGAATTATAGCGCGATAATAATAATTACATTTAATTATTCTCCGATTCCATAATCGACAACAATATTTAATAAATATAAGATTAATATTTTTATAACTATTTTTATAATATACATCAAAAATAATCTCTAAATATATTTTACGTATAATAAATAGATACTATTGATTATTATGGGAATTACAAGGGATGAAGAAAGAAGAAAGAACAACGCGTGCACATATATCAGTCCGCAATTTCCTCTCTTATTCTTTCTCCATTGTTCCGCATTGCGGTCGTGCACCAACTGGAATATAGCCTTTCTATACGCATTTACTTTTTTATGATATGAACACTTTGTATACCTGAAAGCTGGAACGGGAAAGGCCTGTGCCGGACACATGAGAGTCAGCGACCGATCGCAGTGAACTGTGTACGTACGCGAATTCTCTGTCATCGGAAATTTTGGTTTTGTGCTGGCGACTGGCTCTATAAGAAAGCGAAAGAAAGCACGAGCGTACAACGCGAATCTATAATCGCACTACCACAACTGTGAAATGTCAACCGGTTGGAATCGGTGATATTTTTACAATGTTTATATTCCTTCGATTTAAATTGTTATAAAACTGAGTGCTGAGACAGGTCATATTAATATTTTATATTTACTGGAATACGTTTTTAATTAATATAAACAACTATTTTCGGATAAAATAATTTTAAACAATTTATAAACTTGTTAAATTATTATGTAATATTAAAAATAATTTTAAAAAATGGATAATAAGAAATAAACTTGTTAAATTGTTGTGTAATATTAAGAAAATAGTTGCAATTTCAGAGTAATTGCGATTTTAATTGCCCTGTCGCTCGCATATTGCTTCTGCCGCTTCCGTATTATAATTTTATTCTTTATTCCTAAAACCTAAATATATTGCGACATAACTTTATCCCACCTATGCGACGGGACAGGAAACCCTTGAGCAGGGCAAGGTAGAGTCAAAGTGTCTCCTTGATATGAGATAAATCCACGCGAGTTATCCATTGTCGGAAACTTTGGGCGTACGCTCCCTACGGGTTCTACAAAAAGATCGAGTGTGAAAGGAAACGTGTCAGAAACGTGCTGACAACATTACAATGATCTATTTATGTATGCCAAGGGACAGGGAATCCCTTGAACCTATTGAAATAGGAAAAGAGCAGATAAGCAGTTTGTCATTTATCTAGGTATCATATACTTCCAAGTCATAATTCAATATTTTTTATATACTGTATCAGAGATTATTATAAGAGATGCCTAGCTTTTTAAAGTTTTTTTGTTTTTCATAAAACGTATTATTTCAAGAGTTTGTAAAATATTTTAAATCGACTTGAGAAAGAAACAATTTATCCTACCTATAAGACGGAAGCGGATATCCTTGCGCGGGACAAAAAAGCGGCAAGCTTCCGTTGATCTTCGTCACGAGTCCAATCAAGTTGATGGTACTCGAAAGTTTTGGACGTGCACTTGCTATAGGCTCTGTCAGTCGCAGCCCGAGGGAAAAAGAGGACAATTATGAGCGAAAACGACGATGCTAGGAATCGCGAACTTCGACTTACTTGTGAAACGGAACAGGGAACCCTTGAGCGGGGCACAACAAAGTTGCAGATCCGTCTTTAATCATGCGAAATCCTCTGATGTCGTCTATCGTCGGGAATTTCGGTTTCGCGCTGCCGACTGGCTCTAAACATTATTTTATCAAATATATCGCCTCTTGGATTACTACAAAGTAAAAGACGACGGGGAACCCCTAAAACTCTTAAAAAAGCTTCCAAATTTTCTGAAAGTTCGTGATTGATCATAAAAGTATAACGTGGCGCGACTTTATCTTTCGGCGCTGCGACGATTTTTCTATGCACAAATATTATAAATGCAAATAGTTTTCGCCTCACATTTAGTAAAAAATGAAACAGAATCTCTTATTCCTATCTCTCTCTCTAATTATTATATTTTACAAAACTATTATATCATTAAGTTTTTACGAACGAAAAAATATATTAAAACAAAAAAAAAATAAAATCGTAAATAAAATCATCATGCAATTATGCAACTATAAAAACCATATTAAATTGAAATATATCGCTAATTTAAGAAAGATGTAATGTGAAATCGTCATAAGACGTGCTATCATTGTTAATTAGCTGCACCGCAAGTATGGAATATTTAATCGCAATTTCTAAATGGAGGATCAACTTGCTTTAAGAGACTCTAGTGACTCAAGGTATATTTGATGATATAATACCTATATGATGGTACCGGAAAGCCCTGAGCAGGGCACATGAGTGGCAAAGTTCCATTCGTATATATGACGAGGCCGTTTATGTTGCTAATGCTGGGGAATTTCGGGCGTACGCTTCCCACGGGTTCTATCACATTATGGAATCCAGGACGAGATCCAAGAGAGAAAAAGAAAAAATAAACGCAATGATTTCCGCGTCCTGAGTGACTTACTTGTACAAGGGAACAGGGAACCCCTGAGCGGGGCACAGCAACGTAACCGAGCCGTCCTTCGTCGTGCGAAAACTCCTGGAGTCATCGATCGTCGGAAACTTGGGCCTCACGCTGCCGATCGGCTCTGATCATATCGTTTATAATTGGGACTTGCGCGTCCGCGGCGAACGGTCATCCCGAAGGATTCGCGTTCTTTATGGTCTCTACCTGAACAGGGGAACGGGGAACCCCTGTGCTGGGCATATCAGGGCCTGGGAGCCTCCGATGAATGTCCGGAAACCACGTATGTCATCTGTAGACGGAATCTTTGGACGTACGCTGCCCACTGGCTCTAAAAAGCACGTTTTTGTTTTTGCGTCTCCCGTTTATAAATTTGATATAATATAAATTATGAATTTATCCTTTCCAAAAGACGAATAATTAATTAATTACAAGCAATTTTCGTGTTTTGAGAGAACGATGATACTAGATATTCTAACTAAATCAATGAAAAGGAACAGGGAACACCTATACTAAATACATATGCATGCTATCTTGCAAACTTTACAAAGAGATACGCTATAATAATTTTATATAACTATAATAGTATTAGGAACATATAATGTATAGTAATCTCCTAAGTTATTTTTCTTTAATGCGATCCTCTAATTGATATCTGATATTTCAAATTTAAATAAAACCTGATTTTAATAAAAAAACTTAATTAAAATCAAAAGTATAATATATCAGAGTCATTTAATTAACAAAAAAATTTCTGTTTTTCATCTCTAATATAATTAATTTTATCATTATTATTAAACAGAAGCAATTAATAATTTGCTCTTGCAACTTTGCAATTAATCCGTTATTATATATTTTTATTTCTTATCATTTCATTATTATTTATAGCATAGAAAAGTAAGTAATTTGTCGTTAAGTAATATTGATGCAGACTATCTCGTATAAAAAAATTTAAATTTTCAATGTACAACCACAAATTACTTTGCATTCTGATCAAGAGTATCCTATGATATTGGAAACCTTGAGAAGGACACAAAAGCGGTATGTTGCCTTCCAAACACATGGAAAATCCGTTTAAGTTGTTCATAGTAGGAAACTTTGATTGTATACTTTCCACGAGTTTTACATAACAAAAAGCCAGTAGAGAGAATCGTGTCAAGCCCTTGCCAGGTCTCCCCGTTCATTCCGTTAATCATCATTATTATATTGCATCTTGCTCTAATTAGCTCCTAAATTATTACATTGTGCGTTGCTTTGATAAGTTTGCCTTTGCGCTATTGTCTCATACGAACAAAGCAATTCGCTTATCAATGTCATTAATATTCATGTAGGATATTTTTGGTGTAACAATGTAAAATGGAATAGGATACTTTTTAGGGCAAATGAGTGATATTTATTTGTTGGATTACAAAATTAATACCACAAAGAGAGACTCTAACTGTCGCTTGCTGAATCTATCACCGCCTTAATCTCGAAATCGTTAAGCAAAACATTTTTAAAATATTTACGAGGCGAAACTCCCGACACCGCGCAACTTTCTTTATTCGCGTTCGTCTTCTCGGAGCATCTCGACGTGATATGCCCACGCTCGCCACATTTAAAGCATTTAGCGCCTTACTCTTTTGTCGGACAGTTTGCACTTACATGATCGCGCTCGCTGCAATTAAAACAACGCAATTAAAACACGTACAACTTTAGTCGAATGTTTTTTGTTTCCTCCACCATTAACAGTCTCTTTTCGCTCGCTTTTGTTTTGATTATCATTTCGTTTGTTCAATGTCGATGATCCTGGTGTATCTATCTTCCAATTGTATCGTCTTCCAATTTATATGTCGCTTTGAATAGCTTGACTTGTTTTTCCTAAATCTCATAATCACTAGATTGACCGCTGAAATTACTGAGCAAATCCGCTATTGCCGTGATATTTGCTCGCGGCTGACCGGCTAAAACATTGTTTATTGCAACAATGCTACGCGTCGGTTGTTGTTGACTTTCGTCTTCTGCAACTGGCTCGGTATATACTCCTCGTCGCATTGCTTTTATTTCAAGACGTGCTAATGCTAACTCATGCTCTAACAATTCTCTCTCTCTTCTATATAAATCGATCTCTCGTTGCTGTGGATTAATCGTTGGCTGCGCATTTGACGTATCAGGTCCTTGTGAAGAATCCCCCAACATTTTCATCATCTTCTCGTCTATCGTCCAATCACGCTCCCGATGGATCAGCTTCCATTATACGCGAGATTAATTCGGTTTTCGTGCTGATACTGGACAAACCACGCACTGACAGCAACTCTTTTAAGGCAGCTACCGTGAGTTTATTCAGATCTCTCACCTCTACACTACTCGAACACTTTCTCCTCCTCTATATCTCTCTCTTCTACACAACACAACGCGATATCCCGCGGACACTGCGGAACCTTCTCGAAGATGCCCGATTAAATGTTTAAATATTCCATTGATGAAATATTCCATCTCGTTATTATCCCGTTATGGACTGTCATTATCACGTTATTATCTGTTCAAATCCCGGACGAGCCTCCAAATTGTAGGATATTTTTGGTGTAAGGATGTAAAATGGAATAGGATACTTTTTAGGGCAAATGAGTGATATTTATTTGTTGGATTACAAAATTAATACGCGCAAAGAGAGACGCTCGTCTAACGCGCGTCTTCGCGCTCTCGCAACGACTCACAGACTCTAACTGTCACGGACCGAAAAATGCTCGGGCGACCTATCTGTTCATACCTAACTCAAGTGCTCGAGCGGTCTATCTGTTTATTTCTAGAAAAATACTCAAGCACTTGTTTATTTCTAGAAAAATACTCAGCCCTACGGATTCACTCTTCTTCACTCAATAGCTATGCGAGAGTGATTACGCGCTCACAAGTCGCATAATAATACCTAAAAGGATCCTTTGAAATATATTAAAGAAAATCTTACTTAACTTTGAATTAACTGAATTACGGGATAAAATAAACCGTTGTGCGAAATATATATAGTAATATATAAATCACAAATAAAGATATAATTAAAAGCAGAAGATTTGTATATATTACTTTCATATACAATTAATTTAGAAAGTTAAAAAAAAAATAAAATAAAAAATGCAGTAATACCTCTCATTTTTTTAATGAAAAGAAAGAAACATAACTAATATTCGCACTCAACGGTTTAAATATCACTGTTAATTTGCTGTAAAGATATGATGAATGATTCGATCGATTCCTAATTCTAATTAGCAGCAGAGAACGCAACTCGGATGCGTTTAATGCCACGTTTATTGAACGTGCGCAACATTCACATAATGAAATTCTCTGAAAGAACATGTTCCGTAAACTTACCACGCGAGAGCGAAGGACAGAGCCCGGAGATCGCGGAAGGCGCCGCGAAGCGTCGAAAGAATTTCGCAACCCAAATTATATATATTTCGTATATATATATATATATTTCTTCCTTTTTTTCATTTATCTTTCTTTGAACAATTATTCTCAAAACCGATCATGCCAAGAGTCGAGTTTTGGGCGGTGGCGCGTGCCCGCAGGGGTACCCTGTCCCAGCATTCAGGTTCACCCACGAGCTTGATCGCGCCAAATGCTATACATGCGTTTCGAAAACGAAAAGTTCAAATGCTGATGTAAAAATATCGAATAACCTTTCTTAACCTTACAATTGACCTTTCGTATTTAAAAAACCAAGTCGATCAAGCTCGTTGGCCCAAACGATTGCACATTCACTGAACGTGATTAAAGATCCGAAGAGACAATCGACTTTCCAAGAATATGGAAATACTTTGTATAATGATAAAATTAATGTAGATTAAATAATGACATTAATTTAAAATATCAATCTTACATGAAATTCTTTTGTTATAAAAAATCAATTGTCTCCTGGATGATAGTTTCGAACCCAGACACTTCGTAATGTGATGAATGATTTACGCTAAGGACATTAAAAAATTGACATTTCTAAATTTTCTGAAGAGATATATAAACTAATATTATATATAGTATTCTAAATTTGTTATATAATGTGTGTTGTGTTAAATTTTTATATTTACATTAAATCGACAGATAAACGAATTGTTGACAATAATTTTATAAAAAGAAGTTATTTTATAATTAAAACTTTTATCTATATAAAATAAAGACTGTAATCAATTATATGCTAATTTATAAAATTTCAAAGTATGAATTATGATATCCAGGTCCGAAACTAGAAATACGATTCTGATTTCGTTTGACAAACAGATGCGCAACGCGCGCTGACTAATGAAGCTGTATTCTTCCGATTACATCGAAGGATTATCGAGAAATATTTCTAGAGAGCGGTGCTGAATCAGAATCGTAATTTCCGTATAAAAAGAATGAGACTTTTGCGTTTTGACTCACCAGTAATGACGAGACGTCCCTTCGTAGCAGATAATCTAGTTTCACTTGTGAGCCTGTGTTTCGTGCGACATTGGTAAGTCTTATATCCATCTTCGGGTCCGACGTCCCTGATGTGCAATTCTCCGGATGGTAGCACCAAGTATTTTCCATCTAAACCCGTTCAGAACACATATACGTTAGTCATTGCACATTAATCTCACTTTTACGTGACTCGTCAAGATAATCGATCGACTGATCATTTATCGCATAATATTAATCATATAGTACCAATCGTTTAATTGATTATCTGTCTGGTTAAAGCACAGACGTATTATTCAACATCAAGGGCGAATCGATTATCCCGATGCACGATGCAGTCGCACGATGCTCGAACAATATAAACATATAAAAATTGCTTATGTACTTGAGATATGTACTTTTCGAGTATAATGCGGTTTTGATTAATAAACATGCAGTGTCCTTCGTCGAACGTTGAATCGCTACGGACCTTTCATCAATCTCCTACTTCAACATTCGACGAATTCTTTACGAAATCCAAGCACGTTCGCCAAACAAGCATGGGAATCTTGCGTCGCATAAAGAACATATTATGCGGAATCACGCTTTCATCTTTTTGCAAGTGAAAATTCATGGCGCGCAACATTCCTCTTGCTCATTCAAGCATCCAGGAAATCTGTTCTATGTGTTTATTATAATAAAAATGAAGACACTAGAAGATAGCGCCTTTTTATCCTATACATATAAAGTCTATAAAATTTATTAGCAGAGATTTATTATTAGCAGAGATATGATTAATAAACGCTTTTAAAAATATTCTCCCATTTTATTATCATTGTCAGACATTATTTATCATTCAATCTCCTTAGTGTATTTAAATTATTGAAATATCTACGTACAGAATACACAATATTACTGTTTAACAAAATTAACTTCATTTTAATAACGAATCGTTTAATCCGTTAAAGTTATTCTCTATCGTGGTTGAAATTGCAATTTCAACGCCTCTAACGAATCTAATCGCTTTTGCGGCCGAGTCTCATTGGCAAACGAGACTTCCTGGATAGGCGAACTAGTTACATGCAATCACATACAAGCGGTATCCATAACCATTTAGCTACTATCACACATAGAGAAGGACACAGGTGAGAAGAGATGGATAGACCGATCGAATGACCGGAAAAAAAATCGGTGGAAAAGAGGAAGAGAGGTCTGGAACAGCGCGAGCAGCGGCAGTCAACGTCGTATAAATTTTTATATAGAATCCCGCATTGCACGGCAGTTTTGAAACGAGGGGCGTCCGATTACAAATGGAAACATATATCTTGCAGTTTGCACGCGTGTCGTGATACAATAGCGTGGTTCGATTGGTTACTTGGTCGATAGAGCGGAGACCGATGGAACGATTTAGTCGACCTGGATTTATATTTGTGCCACTTGGCAACTAAGTTCGTGTCGACCGTAAAAATTCATTTCCTTTCCTCGCCATTCTCTCTGTCCCAATGTGTTTTTATATTTGTTAAAATTGCGTGAAAGCATCATATTGCAGATCTTGTAATTAGGTCGCATTGTTACTTGTCACGGTCGAGCCGAGGATAATTTTCATAAATACAAAAGCGATCGTCAAGCGGAGTGTCATTACTGGATGATGATTAGACTCATGAGAGAATCCTTGAACCACATTGCCGTATACTTAATAGCTTACCGAGCATCGTAATTCTAACTTTACCGATCGCTCGAAATGCATCGCTCTGACAGAACGAATATAATGCGAAAAAAACGTAGTAGTTTTGTTTTACAAATGTATAAGAAAGTAGAAATATTTCTGTAGGAATATTATCTCATAAAATATACAACTGATGAATAAAACACCAATGAGAAGAAATACAAAAATAGAATATAATTCCATTCATAGAACACATTCCGTTTATCTTTTGACCATTTTTTGCAGGATGTGGCAATTTTGCAGATTACGATTATCTTAAAGATAAAAGATTCACGCGACATTCGAGCAGAATGAAGATAACATGAAATGTTATGTATCGTGTACCATAATCAGCGCTAGGATATATATCAGTAGTCTCATCTTCAATCCAAGAGTCAACCTCGACGAATTCGGCGACGAAGCTCGGTATGTGACACTTGATAATTGCGGCGTTCCCCCGAAGGACGTGTTCGTCCATCACGTTCACTGCATACCGCTGCCCGACAACTGCAACCAGACACGGGTTTCCGGTTTTACCATAAGACGCAAATCTCCAATCTAACAGGACGTGTCGATCGTTCGACGAATGATGATTTTAAGAGACAAAAATTAAAATAAAAAGTTTATGATAAACAAAGTGTTGCGACTAGGATTAAATTTTTAGATTCGAAAATATGTTTTCATTGATTTTAATTATATTAATAATTTGTATAATATTAATTAGTAATTATTAATAGCTGAATTTTAATAATCTAACATTTTTATATTAAATACTGAATATTTTGTTTTGGATACTATTGTGTTTGTACGTGTTTACGCGAATTTTTAAAAATATTTTATTTTGAATAATCTAATTTAATAAATTTATTGCGTAATGTCTCAATATTTCCTTAGCTGAATTTCTTATAATAAAGATTGGCTTAGGTATATTTCGAAGTCAATGTTTATGTATTATTTAAAGGAGGATTATAAGGCCGGAAAATATTACATAATATCTGTTGTACTAATTCGTACAATTTGTTGGCTGATAAACTATTGAATTTATTATACGCTTTAACAAATCCACTTTGAATGTTTATGCAAACAATGCCAATATTATGATATTTCGTATTACAAAATTACGAAATATTATATTACGAAATAAAATTTATGCTGAACGTGTAACAATCCGGTTATTTGCTTAATTAAAATATTTCACAAAAATATTTCAGTAATTATATAAGTAAATTGTTCCGGAAGTGAAAGCTGCTCAACAAATGATTCAGACGTTATATTCGCAAACTTGTACGTAATCATATTTTCAATAATTCGATAAACTCCGTTTAACAATACATTACATTTGATTATGTCATTATCAGGAATTTTATTCATATCACCCGTTATGTCTGTGAATTAAAATAAGTTCTACTGCCGCGGACAGCTCTGAAGAATATGTTCCTGCGTTTGTCAAAGAGAACCAGTCTTGAAATAGACCCGATCGATATTCAACATTACAATTCGTTGCATATATTCAATAAACAGGTTGCGCGCAGGTATCCATTGCAACGATGTACATGGAAACGATATCTATTTACACTACATGCATTTTATACCAAGGAAATCAAAGAAACAGTATCGATAAGAAGAAAGAAGAGAAAGTGCGCGCAAGATATCGAACTAGATGATTAAGTCAGTCCTTTTGTGTGTTTGGTGATTTGCGCCTTCTTTAAAGAGAACCTGTGTCCCTCCGGTTTGCAAAAAAAAAAAAAAGAAATACAATGCAAAGTGCATCTTTTTATTTTTGACTACCATATGATTGTTCGTCGGCGACGTAACTGCCGCCGTTGGAATCGATCCATCCCATCACGTCCACGTGGTCGGCCACGAACGAGGGAACTTGACACTTGAAAATAGCCGCGTTGCCGCGTATCGCGAACTGATCGTAAACCTGAACTTCAAAGTACTGGGCTACCACTGCAATGAAGCGAGAAAAAAAGAGAGTTTGGCGTTTGTTCTAGCTGTGAATGTCGCCGGTGCGCGCTTTGATCGCGATCGCGCCGATTAAAATTTCAATGAACTTGACTGTCGGCAAACTGACTGCTGGCAGCTAGTTTCCGATCGTGCCTCTATCAAGCGTGGCAAATTTCGATTGCACCATAGACACCGATCCGATTAATCCGACTTAATCTAATTGCAAATTATGAGTACACCCACGTTCTTATTTTCTAATTTCATAGCGATTTCATTCCGCGAATGACATACTGAAATATTGCAATTTAAAGGATCAGTATGAGAGATTTCATGTTTTAAAATAATATTTTTCAAAATAATCATAAACCATGTATTTATATCTGAACTTTTAAAAAAATTATATTATAATTTTTATTCTTATTTTCTACAAATTCTGATTTATTAAGAAATTTATTAAGATCTATTGAGATCTCATTACTTATTTTTTTGAAATATGCAATGTCTGCTTAGGCAATAATATTCATAACTATAAATTAAATAATAAAGAGATTATAATTATTATAGGGCAGTATGATTGAAACAAATTAAATTTAACAAATTAATATTTGTTTTATATTTCATTAATTATCATAATATCTTCGGGTATTGACTCGCGGTCATAAAGCAAATTCGATCATGCCAGAATTTGTCGTCAGAAATAACCCCTTAACGATCATCTTTCTCTCTCTCTCTTTCTCTCTCTCTCTCTCTCTCTCTCTCTCTCTCTCTCTCTCTTTCTCTACCGAAAGTGGATCAAACTCGCGCGGACGTTAATTTGCTTTTCAGACCGATTAATCCAGCTTAACTTAATCTGAGGATCACACCGAACGAAGTCGCTGCCAGCCACATGCTCTGCCTCTATTCACCCTTGCCGATCACTGAATCGGAAAGGGCAAACTTTCCAGGCAAGATCCGCGTTCCATCAACCACCAACCTTCCTTTTCACTATCCAAAAATACACGAATAACGTGAATATATAATATATGCATGGATGAACCATCTCTATTCATCTGAAGCGAGTAAATCGTAATTCAATTTGCAAAATAATTCATCATAAAAATAAATATATTAATTGATTTTAAAAGGGTATATAAAGAGAAATGATTCATCTAAAATGAGCAAATAAAAAATTGCATTACAGAACAACTAATTTAGGGAAAAATTATGTCGAAGGATTAAAACGAAATTATTCCGTTAATATTAATTTCGTTTAATCGACGTAACGCTAAGTACCCTTTTCTTGCTGACTATTCGTACTATACGTGGAGCCATCCTCAGCCAGCCACTCAATCACATCTACGAAATCCGCCACAAAGCTGGGCACGAGACACTTCAGAGTTGCCGTATTTCCGCGTAAGACGAACTCGTCGATGACTCTCGTCTCGTAGAATTGCTGGACCACTGCAATGCGCGAATTCTCGAAGAGATCATGATATAATAAATCATGATGTAATATATCATGATATGATCATGATATATAATTAATCTGCTTTGACGTACGCTACTCGAACTGAATCTGAAGGACGATTAAAATTCTACATTGCATCATGTTTTACGTCGCTGGAACTATTATTGCTTTCAGATGTATTTTCGTGTGATTTTTGACATGTCAATCTCGACATTTATCTCATAATTTTCAAATATGCTTCCAAACATAATTCTTTCTTATTGTGTTCGAAAGTAAAAGTCGAAATAACCGTAAGTTGCAACCGATAGTGGTCAGGGAGCGAACGAGAAGAAAATGCACGAATTTATTTGAGGGAAGGAAATGAGAATACGGGAAAAGAAGAAAATACAGAAATTGTTCCGAATCACAACAACGCATACTACATCGGCATCGATCGGCATCATACCGTACTCCTGTCCGGATGTGTAAATCGTCCCATCGTCGGCCACCCACTGATCCACGTGGACGAATTCGGACACGAAGCTCGGTATTTTGCATTTCATGATCGCGCTGTTAGCCCGGATCACGTACTCGTTCTCGGCTTCAGTGACGTAGAACTGCGAAACGACTGCCGGCGCGGACAACGCGTGTTAATTTTTTGAAATACGGTGAAAAATGAACCATTTTTTTTTATTTTTTTGATAAATTGAGTAGATTCCTAGTTACACATTGATGAAAAAATTAATTCATCTCACTTTGTACGAAATAAATCAATCAAACAAGAATTAACAATATTTTTAGAGGAGATATCTTATGTGTTAGTTATCGATTTTTTTGTAAATATGTATTTTTATAAAAAAAATACATATTTTTTCATTCAAGGAGTTAAAGCTGACGAATCAACGGACGATAAAATATATACGCGGATGCGTAAATCTTGCAATAGGATTTTAAGAGAAAGAGTGAATATGTTATTTTGGTTAAAGATATGATGGACATAAATAAGCGACAAATGCGTTTCACAAAAAATTTGTATATGATTAGGCGAGAAAGAAAAAAATTTAACACAATAGCGTTTGATTAATTGTCATGTAAGAATTTGAACAAGTTAAAATTTTATTCTTACAAGTCTAAATTTAATTTTCTTAATTTTGAGATTAATTTTTTCAATTTCTTAAAAAATTGAATTAAACTGCTGTAAATTCTTGAATCATTTATTTTCAATATCCTTTTTATTAAAATTAAATTGCAAAATACTAATTTATTGTAAAACATTAATATGCGACATCCTAATTCATATACAAATTTTGTACGGGATGCCTAAAATAATTCAGGACGAATCTGCAGTACCCTGTACGACTGCTAGATCGTCCGGAAGATAAACCTCTCCATCTTCGCGAATCCACGCTTCGACAGTAACAAATTCTGCGATGTAACTGGGAATGCTGCATTTTAAGATCGCGCTGTTTCCTCTTATAACGTATTCAGTCAATATCTCTGGATTGTAAGGCTGAGTGACGACTATATGGAGAATGTAAATTAATATAAACAAGTATTCAATAAAATAACAAATATTGCATAAGAGTTGTTTAAAGGTATATCTGCGTTACACAAGTATACAAAATATATATGTGTGTGTTTATTATTCATAATTTATCATATTATTAGTAGATGGAAAAGAGGTTTTTTTGTGTTGTGCGCGAATTGATCACGAAAAGATAAAGTTATTGATATTCGTTGTTATTGATATTTGTTGTTCTCACTCATGAAAAACATCAATCTGTTTAAAAATATCACAATTGTAATAAATTAAAGCAAAAAATAACATTTCTTTTAAATTTGTAGGATAACTGCTTGCAATCTTTTACTCCCGTGCTTCATGAATACTTTCATATGTGGAATAAAGCGCCATTGTGATAATGCAATCACAAATTAAACGTAATAATTTCAAAAAAATATTCTTTCTGTGCCTTCGTATTTGTTGTGTTTCGTGTTGGATTATAATATTATATCATATTGTTCGTGTACTGGACTATAATATTATATCACAACGAGATGTGTAATTTATTCTAAAATTTTCTTCAGAGTAGCTTTTTGACCAAACTTCCTAAAATTTCTCGCGTTCATCATGGGTCCTATGTCGGCTTATTTTCTTAGGCCTGTCATAATTCGCGGCGTGAGAATCACCGGATGGTTCATTAACCTTCATGTATGTATGTACTGCCGCCGCCGTTCACAGCCGTTGTTGGATTATCAGACCGCGCGGCCAGCGGAAACGAATCGTTACCACGTGCCACTTTGAACTTTGACAAAGTTGGACAAGGGGACGAGGTGTCTGAGTAGCATGGGTACAAAGGGTGATACGACCGGAAAGAGAATTTCCTCACCCTGTGTACTTATTGCGTATATTTATTGCTCGACGGTTCATTACACACATAACAGTCGTCATACAAATTGTGCAACGCCTGCACACTACAAATCAATTAAAATACATTCAAATGATTTAATTTGCAAAGAGCTAAAGGATATATCTCTCACATATATATACACAAATTATTTCCAAATAAATCAAATAATTTATTTTAGATAATTTATTTTAGAAGTAATTTGTTTATCCAAGCAAAGACAATGTGTTATGACGAGCAAAAGTATTTCCAATTGCTACTTTTTTTTCAGAATTTTCTAGCGGGAATTATAGAAGTTCTTTATTTCATACACGCAAGGATGATAGCAAGGATATAGTTGATAAGATGATATATCATTTTTTAATTTTATTAAAAATAAATTTTAATAAAAATAATTATTATCAAATTTTTCATGATGTTTGAATAAAAAAAAATAGAATAAAAAAAGAATATAAAATCTTTCCGGCATATTATCCCTTTTAAGGAGAAACCTTTCTCTCTGGAAGGATAGGAGAATAAATATACCCCGAATGGACGAGAAAACATGTGCTATACCATAATCAGTAGATGGTTTGAAGGTTGAGCCGTCGCTTCCCACCCACGATTCAACCGACACAAATTCGGCGACAAAGCTTGGTATGGTGCATTTCAAAATAGCCGCATTTCCACGTATTACGTACTCCGATACAACTTCCGCCTCGTAATATTGAGTCACGACTGCGAAAGATAATGGCAAAGATAATATTATAATGACGCATTGTGTAACTATATCGCATATCGCACGCTTCCTAAGATCACATCGTGTTGCGTTGTTGCGTGCTTAATCGAGGAGAATCAATTTTCTCGGTTCAGGACACAACACACATTCTTCAATCATTATGATATGCAAATCATTGTATACTTGTAAGACAATATCTTGTTATGCGCGTTGATTTAATCCCACAAATCAATTTTGTAAAAATGAAATAAATTTCTCTGGAGGAAATTAGGCAATCAAAGAGATTGCAATCTATTGCAATCTAACAGCTAACATTATACAATTTGATGCTCTACTATGCTATGTAATTGCACAAACTGATTCTTAGTAAGTAGAAGAAGACTTACGAACTTTTGGATACTTAAGAAATTATAGTTGCAGCTTTCTTAAATCAAATGTTAAACACTAATCTGCGTAAAGCTTTACACTCATTTAAGCATAAAGACAGTAATTTCTGAGATCAATTTAAATAAAATATCAACAAAATTCGCGATGAATATTGTGATAAGGAGAAATCTGTTACGGTATCGACGACGTTGACTAGTTTACCATTCGCTGCCCACGCACGTCCCGATTTTCCTAATATCCTAAAATAAATATCCTAAAAATCTTAAATTGTACCGTTGCCCTGATCTGGATCGAAAGAGTTTCCCTGGTCATCCTGCCAACCAACGACTTGAACGAATTCCGCGACGAAGCTCGGTATACTGCACTTGAGAATGGCCGCGTTACCACGTATTACATATTCATTGTTGACTTCAGACTGATAATACTGATGCACCACTGTAATAAACGGGCGAAATAATCTACGTGTACTCGTTTCTGCTATTGACTGATAGGCGTCCATTGTGGCATTTTAGTTTCCAGTTTGATTGGAAATACATTTATCAAAATATTTTTGACGAATTGTATTTTATGACGACGCTGCTTGAAACTGCTCGATTAAAGTGTACTTTTACAATGCAAAGATATATATTGACGAATGATACCTTTAAACATGTGCGCGCGCGTGAGAAATTAATTTTTCACTCAAATCAAATGAAACGACGTTGACGACAGCTTTGGACGATACATTTTGTCATCACTTTGCGAGCAGAATAGTTCGCGTTGTCGCATCTTATATTAGTCGTAATCTGACAAACGAATCTTATGAGGGTACGACGTTATAAGCAAAAAAATTAATTTATGAAGTACTACTATAAAAATATTTATTATTATTTTTATTATTATTATAATATTTATTATTCTTTTTATTATAATTAATCAGCATTATGCAATATATATACTATTATATTTTCTATATAACTAATATATACTATTATAATTTCTATATACTATAAAATTTCCCATGTGAGAAAAAAGCCAAATTAAACTAAATATTATTTAAACGACCCATTTTTTTTTTGAATACACACATGACGCGCTAGAAACAAATATCGTATAACTGTATGGTTTAATAGAAAAACAAGAGAGATAGCAGATTGCAAAACAAGAGAGATAGCACATTGATCAAATATCCGATTCGGCTAGATATATCGAGTTGGGAATAACGTTAACGAGACGAATGACGATGCACACGTATATACATATTGGTCATGGAAGTGGAAAGTGAGCGACCCATATACTTTCGCGCTCCAAATGGGTTTGCATTTCGCCACGATGGCAATTGAGATCAATATACGAGAAGCGCCCGAGTCGCACGGATGGTGTCAGTTACTCAACCGAACGACACGATGCATTTGTGGCCTCGAAATGGAACATACGGGCGAGTAATAACGACATTATTTCTTAATTGTCTCTGAAGGGCATAAATCAATTGAAATAACGTCGATATATATTTGATAAGATATAATTTTAATATAATTTTATTATATCTTTAAAAATCTTTTATATTATACATGTGAGAGTTTTATATTATTATACGAAATTTTCTATCCTTTAAACGAATATAATGAATCATAATGTCTGTTCAAGTTTGTGTTGATACATGAATTATCCCATGTCTTTTCAAAGATGTAACAACGAAATTTTCTGCTCGCAAAAATATAAGGAAATCGGTTTTTAGTTTATTAATCGAATGTTTCAAATGATACCAAAGTCATCGCCAGGTACGAATTCCTCTCCCTGATCTGTATGCCAGGATAGGACTTTGACGAAATCGGCGACAAAAGAGGGAACGACACACTTCAAAATGGCACTGTTCCCACGAATCGCGTATTCCTTATTCACGTCGGTGTCATAATACTGCGCCACCACTATAATTTTGCATACAAAAAATAGCGTTCACGATGTGTTAAACACGTGTTTTACTCCAGTCTCAATAAAAATCTACACAAGAACACCTTTTAAATATATTTTTTGAAATAAATATTTAAAATAAATATTTTTTTTTATGAATGAAGTCTATTTAATTAATATGGAAACATTATTATAAAAATTTTGCTATTATGTATAATTACAATATATTTAATAACTGCTAACTAATATAATGTTAATGCTAAATAATTATTATGCTCTCATCGCGTAAAAAAATATAATTTATAAAACATATAAAAAATTTATATATATATATATATATATATATATATATAATATTTATTATTTTCATTATTATTATTATTATTATTACATGTATATATAAATTTTATTTTTAATCAATAAAAAATAAGAATGATACTGTGCCAATCAATAAAACAATGTGACGTCAGGTCTAATGACATCACCGCATGTGATTCAGAAGTATTTTCAATTTCGCAAGAAATATGACATCACGTAGAAATGTGATTACATCAACCGTAAAAAGTAATTTCCTGATTACGAGCAGATTGAGACTGGAGAAGAAATTTAGAACACTAATGCATTCACATAAACGGCGGCGGCAGAGATTGCAAGATATTTAGAAGGACAATACAGTCGCATTTTGACCAAATATTATTAATCCAATTATCAGATTAATATCAATATTTACCGAATTAAAGTTCTTTCACAAAACAAATGTCGAATAAATGGAAGAACCGTAATGTATAATAAAATATATTACAATTATCCAATTATAGCTGAAAATAATATCTTTTAAGTTTTTCTATGTTTAGCCATCTTGTATAATATTACTAACTTTAAAAATATATATAATATTATAATATTATAATATTATATTGTAATATATTATTATAATATAACATTAATTACATAACATTATACATAATATTATATATTATATATATATTATATGTATTATATTATACATATATTATATATTATATATATTATATATAATATTATAACATTACTATAATATTATAATTATTTTTAGATACCAAATTAATAAAAAATGTTTAAAAAAATGTAACATTTAAAATTAATACTAGATTTAAATTTAAACTAAATTTCAAAATTTAATAAGAATTTGCCTTTTAGTATTTCATTTATTTGTTTCTAAGGCCGGTATTCATAGTCCGGTCTTACATTTAAGATCATCTTAAGCTCTCATTCCAATCAATGGCATTGTAGCGATTTGATTGGTTGAATGAGTTCTTAAGATGATCTTAAATGTAAGACCGGACTATGAATACCGGCCTAAAACATCTTGAACACTAATTAAATTGCTGAGAAACAATTTTTAATTTCATTAAAATAAAAATAAAATACATAATATCATTAACCTTAATTTCAATAGCAGTTATTTTTACCAAATTACATTCAATTTAAAAAATTCAAAAGTTTCTATTTTCTTCATAGTTTTAATTGCATAATTTTAATATCTATTATTAATAATATCTATTATTATTAATATCTATTATAATATCTATTATTAATATAAAGAAATTAAATATAAAGACTTTATAAATATAAAGAAAGTTAACAGTTTTTTTTCTCAAAAATTAATGTATATATATATATATTAATTTATGAGAAAAAAAAATTGTCAACTTTCTTTATATTTATAAAGTTTTTATATTTATATATCAAAATGATATATAAATATAAAGACTTTATAAATATAAATATTTATATACTATTTATATACTATTTATATACTGATATTTATATATCAAAAAATCAGATAATTAATTAAAATTAAAATTAAGGTTAATCACACTTTTCTCGAATATTTTTATAAAATATTATAGATGGCTAAACGATAAATATTAATGGACAAATGTAGGGATGACACTCACCAGCTCTCACGTTGACATCACGGCTGTGTACTGAACCTGCAGGGGAACGTGCCAAACAGCTGTAGACCTGAGCGTGAACTTCCTGACGATAATCCTCAGCGCGGAAAGGAGGGAATACCAAATTTCCGTTTTGAAAAACCTGTCAAAGATCAATAACCATGTAGTCTAAACTCGTATAATCATATAGTAACAAGCTCGGAAAGAATTTCGTCTCATTGCATAAATGTAGAAAGCCATAAATATTTAATAATATCATTCGCATGATACAAAAAGGTATTTACTATTAGAATAGCTAATTAGCAGTTACTTTAAAAAATAATTCATTATCTATTGTATAAAAAATTACTTTTAATTAGTGAAAAGCTTGCTTTTTTTATTGAGAATATTCATTACTAACATTAATAAGAAGTTTAACAAACATCAACATTTTAAAGAAAGTTTCGATAAAATCGATCGTGAATAAAAATAAATTTTAATTATATTATTTTTAAACAGAAGTATATTTTCAAACAGGAAGAAAATGAGTTAAAACTTGACCTAATAATACCTGTCTCAGTCCAGGAACGTCTCCTACAGCAGTTCCATCGGAGCGAACCCAGATGATATCCGGTTGAGGATTTCCTCTTGCCTGGCATTCGACAACAGCTCCGGTTCCATTTGAGAAATCAACTCGATTTGGAGGTTCCTTGACGAATACCGGTCCCATGGATACATCTTCAGCCGAAACAACTGCAAATAGAATGCAAATATTTCCATTTTAAGAATATTTTGTTTTCAAGCCATTCTGCACCAATGTGTGTGTGTGTGTGTGTGTGTGTGTGTGTGTGTGTGTGTGTGTGTGTGTTCGTGTTATGAAACTATTTATTTTGAAAATTATATACAATTTTGAAAGATTATAAATTTTAATCTATCAAATTTAAAAAGATCTCTGTAATTATAATACTTTTTCAAGATAAATGGAGCTTGTTTTATAACTTTTAAAATGATAAATGACATGCCATGACTTTATATCGACTATCTATGATTTAAGTCGGTTTTTCTAATTATAATGATCAATTTTAGATCAAAAATTGCAGCAGTTCTTTAATTATAAAAATGAATAGTCTATAAATAGAATGAAATGTGAGGAATATTTAATAGCTTATGGAAATATTAGGACGCGCGCGCGAAGCCAATTAATTTAAAACATCAACGATAAGACCTTTTGTCTCGTGTCTTCGAGTTTCGCTTCCGTTTCAATCAGGATATGTGACACCCACATTAAAATGATAAATGACATGCCATGACTTTATATCGACTATCTATGATTTAAGTCATTTGTTCTAATTATAATGATCAATTTTAGATCAAAAATTGCAGCAGTTCTTTAATTATAAAAAATGAATATTCTATAAATAGAATGAAATGTGAGGAATACTTAATAGCTTATGGGAATATTAGGACGCGCGCACGAAGCCAATTAATTTAAAACATCAACGATAAGACCTTTTGTCTCGTGTCTTCGAGTTTCGCTTATCATCCGTTCAACCAGGATATGTGACACCCACATTCAATTGGCGCGTTGCCAATTGCAGCAAACAACAGGTTGTCGGATCTGTTATTGAATAATATGCGATCAACGTCACGAGAGCATAAGGGAGACGACAATGCGTGATTCCTTTTCCGTCAGAGAGCTGTGGTTGGCTTTTGCCAGTATAATCGATAGCAAGAATGCTTCCGTTAATAGAAGATTATATACCATTTATTGTAAACTTAATGCATAAACATTACATATTATACGCACATATTTAATAAAAAGCAAGAATGTATCTTCTAAGAAATATTATTAGCAAATAATTTTTAAAATAATTATACAATTTTATTTGTAATTTTAATATAACATAAAAATAATGATGCATTCTATCCACTATAATTGCCTTCTATAATTTAACTTTTAATTATGGCTCATTTTAGGAAAAAAATGTTCACGCAATTTTTATTTATCTGTAAAAATAATTAACTACAATATTTTTGTAATAAGTTATAGCAATGTTTAATAATGCAAATCGCTCGTTGTATAAAACGCCTAAAATTTATAGGGGAATTTACCGTGCTACTTTCTTCGCATATAACTACCTACTGATTCACCTACGACGACGGCTGCAGTAAAGTGAGAGCAAATAAACCTGATGCAGTATAAAATCAAGTCACGAAGAACCGGTTGCGAAGCGCGCGCCATTGGAGTGAACGATAGGAACATATACAGAGAGAGAGAGGTATAAAGAACAGGTGTTGAGAATTTTTGTAGATTTGCACTATCTCTGTTACTCAAACTTCATCTCACAGTTTTGTCCTTGTCTCACGCCTTTGAGAAATCTGCATGCGATCCATTTCATTTACATGCCGATTGTAACTTTCTTTCAGTACAGTTACATTAAATTATAGTAGATAGATTGAATAGAACACAAGAAACGAAATATCATATTTCTTATTGAATATTTTTTCTTTTTTTTTCATTCTCTGCTTTGAATATCTCCATGTTAAGTTGATGATGTTTAAGCATTATAATAGCAGATATATTCAGATATCGAAAGTGTGGGAAGAATTAAATTAATATTTAGATATTATAAAGATTAACTGGGTGAGAATACAGAACGTTTCAATGATGATTATACATTTATGTTCAACGATTGCATTATTTGTGCTTTTTGCAATATGTTTATGGTGCAATAACGGTTTATGTTAGAAAAGAATATTGTTGTGGCTACATGTCATAGATAATACGTAGTATGAGCGGATATTGGTCGCAAAAGTACATTGTAAAATTTTTTTTGAGATAGAATTTTTACGCATCCTTAATGAAAGACGAGATTCTTCTCGGTCGACAACCGCTCTGTAATCTATATATAGATGTAGCTCTCTTTGAAACGTCCGGACATACTACTGCATCGAATATATTTCCAGCACGCACACACGCGCACGCGTGATCACTGCACGTGCGGCTCACATGTGTATTCATTTTGCGCCTGTATGTGTCGAAACGTTGTGACGTGCATAATAATTGCAGAGAGACACATTTCGAAATCATAAAGTCGTTGATTAAGCAATCTTTTGATGAAACTTTTGTCTCGATCTTTTTTTGGCATTATTATTGAATATTCATTTTTTTTGTTTTCTTCTGTCGCCATGTTAAGCTGATGACGTTAAACATTACAATGACATCAATCATCGAAAACGTCGGAATGATTAAATTAATATTTATTATAATAATTAATTGGATACACAAAAGACGTTTCAATAATGATTGTACATTTATATTCAAGAATTGCGTGTTTATGTTGTCTATAACATTGTTAGTCTAAAATAAAACTTGCAATCTCAAGCACCAAAAGAGTGATTTTTTTAATAAAAAAATCTCTTTAATAAATATTTAATAAATATATATTTTTACTTTGCTAAAACTGTTAATTGTCATGAATTAATGAATTGTTTATCATAAATTATTATTCATGATAAAGATTTGTTGCAATGTTTAATCATTTTTAACCGAATAAAAAAATTACTTTATTCTGACTGAATTCTTCTGTCTTTTCTAGTTAATGTCGAAAGAATTTTAAAGTAAATAAAAATTACTATTTCCAGAATTGTTATAGAAATTATTAAAATCATATTTTATTAGGACCTATCGATGATTGCAAAAGTAGACAAAACTTTACTTAGGAAAAATCAACAAACAAAAATAAATTCTTATAAAACTCGGACTCTTTTTACATGGCTTCTATAACTGCATCTATTTCTAAGACTTCCTGTTGGATACCAAAATAACAAATGTTTCTTTAAGCGTGTGGCTTGTTCTAGCTCAAAATACAGTCAATGCAAGCAATTTTCAGCAATTTTCATCATATTATAATTATTAATATTATAATTATTATAAATTCAATAAAATAATATTGTATTAAAATTTGATTAATAGCATATAAAATAGTCTGCTATATAAATTTTTTATGATTTATATTTATAATTAGCACAATTTGGTTACAACTAAAATATTTTACACATGTTTAATCTCATAATTTCGTTCGATTGATTAAATATTTATAGTTTGTTTTAATTTCTATTTTTTTTCAGCTTAAAGATCGATACGGAAGTTCAAGATCGATGCCACCTATGTTTCATAATAGATAAAGTTCTTTTGAAGGAGAGGTTTCACATAACAGGCTGATTCACCTGGTGGCGAATATTCGCGAACGAATTCAATTCTTTTCAAAGCATGATGTGAGCCTGCTTTCTGGGAACAGCAGCTGTTCCTTTCCCTCGACCTCCTCATCCCCTTTATCTTAGTTAGTCCCGCCGGCAGCTGCGTCTCGTGATTCTTTGTACCTATACTCAGGACCTTTCACGGTCCCAACTAACCGCCTGTTAAGTTCAAAATATACGCTGTAAAATCGCATTATAAACAGCATCAACGCGGATTGTTATAATAAATCATAAAGAGTAAGAACAAAATTGTAAATTATTTATTATTAATAATTATTAATTATTTAAAAATCGCGGTAATCTTATACTATTTTATAATTTTATTACATTTTATTTTATAATTTTATTTACATTTTATTTTTAAAATGTCAATTTTTTGTTTATTTTTACATTGAATAAAGAAAATTGTTTGTATTTAATAAAAATAAATTAATGCCTTTTGCTAATTTTTGTAATAATAATTAGAGAAATCTTTCTCCAAAAATATTTAATATCTAGTATTGTATGCTAAAAGTAAATGTGTATTATAAAGAACAGATTATTGCATCAGCTGATTCAAAATTTCACATACTGGTTGTGAGATACATTTACAAGATATTGCATATTCAAATAGGTAATGTATAACGAATTATGAATAATTCTAATACAGCAAAAATCTTTGTTATGATATTCAAGATGTGATTTACACAAGATTTTTAAAAATCATATAGTTAGCGAAAATTTTACTTATTTAAACGAAAACCTCTTAATTATTCTCATAATCTCTCGACTCATTTTTTAATTCTTATATATTCTCTATTTTCTTCATTACACATAAAATATCATTAATATTATATTATTCATCATTATTACTTTAAAAAATTTAGAAACTTATATCATATTAACTTCATCTTACTATGTATTTAACACACGAAAGTCATGGCTTGTCTTTCTCGTATAAACATCTTTCCGATCTTTAATACAAATCACATGACCGGCATCCATCAATGTTTCTCGGTAATTATCGCAGCATCACGCAAAGAGAAACACAGTGTAAATAAGATCTTTTAGTTCAAAGTTGACTCACCCGTTGTCGATACCAAGACAGCAACTAACAAGAGCATAGCGATGATGTTGACGGGTATCTTGTACCCCCCGCCTGGATGTTCTCGCCACATCCTTATCTCGTTCCTTCTGAGTGCACTTTTTTTCTCTCTCTCTTTGATTTTCACCTAATTTCACATAAAATACACTGATTGAACAATACGTTCGTCGACTGTGAAACAATCGCCGATGGTTCGCTTCGATGATATTTTAAAAACTATTTAAAAAAATCTTTTAGAAAATATTTAATTATTAAGTTGAGCGCTTAAATTTGACAAATAAACACTAAAACTATTTTCATTTAATTTCATGTTTATTCTTAACCGTTAAAGACACGATTGCCTTCAACGGGTGTGACGTTTTAGCATGCATTAAAAAACCCACGTAAGCTGATCTCTACAACTTCCAAAGTGTCATGTAATCGATTCTTTATTTATAGAAATCACGAATATAATTTGAAAGAATGATAGGATTGATATCTCGGAACTAATTAATTATTATTTAAGAACTCTTTCTGTTCTATCATAAATATGTTTGATTTTATTTAAAAAATTTAGTTTATTATTATCAATAATTTATCGTTAAAATAGAAAATCGTTAAGATAAGAAACTGACAGAGAGAGAGAGAGAGAGAGAAATTAAGGTAGGAAATATTATATATAAAATTAAGATAGAAAATACTGACAGAAATTAAGATAAAAGAAATTAATTAAACACGAAAGTATAATATATTGCATATAGAATAATATTAAATTTATTATTATAAATCTCTTATTTTAGATATATGTACGTTTATGTACCTTATTATCAATCACAACAGCAATACTTATATTGAGAAACAAAGAAAAAAATGCGTTGATGCGTATACTAAATAAATAATTACAAAAATTGAAGAATTCTCCTAAAGAGCATCTCTCAAACATCTAATTCCTGTCATTTCAAGGACTTTAAAAAAATTACTTTTGAACCGATCACGAACAATATCGTAATTGTCTTTATAATTGGAAAACTACATAATATCTAATACGAAGAATTGCAAAATATTTCCTACAGCTTTTACTCTCCTCGCAGTAATCCGTTGTAAGTACAAACGATCAAAATCGCGAGAAGAGCTCTAAAAAGCTAGTCTCTTTGGTGTCTATTGGTCTGTGATAATCTGTAGCAGAGAACGCGAAAGCGCTATCTCGTTGCGAAACAGACTAGAAGTGCACGTGCTGAATCGCTGATAGCAAGGGTTACGGCTGAAGAACAGCGAACAAGCCGATAGGGGAGGCAGGGGGAAAAGCGACCGCGAGAGGGGATGAAAAGATGTAGAAGGGAGAGGGGAGACAAAATGTGGCGGAGTTGAACGGTTCGTCACGGGGCTGCTCCCTCTCGGCGAGTTTATTGATCGCAGGGTGCGGAGCGGTTCAATCTACCCCTCGCGACGATGCGCGCCATGCTGCCATCCGGAACTCGGAGCTAGCCAGGCGGCCACGGTGGTGCGTACATAGATCCCCACTGAATCCATCACTTTCTCACGCGCCCCAACAAGAATCCGCGACAAAGCTCAAAATTATTGTTCAACCTGATATGTCAATCGGCACCTCTATCGCGGAAGTTAATTTAATTAAACCGCAGAATCGAAACATGACGCCAGCGTCTACATATGTCATTGTCGTTACATCATGTAATTCGATGTACATGTAGCACAAAATCGGGAGAACAGTTATAGAAATAGATAATTGAAATTCAGAAATTATAAGACAATTTGTTCATCACAAAAATGATATCTTGTTATTTCGAAAGAAGATGAGTCGTATCAATTTGTTCCATAATGAATCGCTGATCTTCTCTGCGAAAACGATGAGAGAAAGAATTGGCTAAAAGAATCTTGTCATAGTGACAAAAAAAGCGAAATCTGACGACCATATGAGAAACAGAGAAATGGATAAAAAAGAATCTACGCAGACTCCAGCCAAATCTTTCAAGTTTAAGAGAACAATTAACGCGTACGAAATCATTGTCCTAAATCTTAGTTACAAATTCGTTCTTTTCATAAATCGATTGACACAAAGATTATTAATCAACCATCTCGAAACCTCCATCAAGGTTTAGCGACCATCGGCGATTCGTCTTGTCGAATTCAATGCCAACTTCTCATAACAAAAAGGAGCAAGAAGCATTTTAAAGCATTTTTTCGTCCACAAATTGGTGCTCACACACATACACACAAAGCATAATCACTGCTGATATATTCCACCACATACGCACACAGACGCACACACGCACCGACACACGCCTACGGACGATTTCGTAAAATCGGTAGACGCTCGTTTCTTTTTACCGCGTGTTTCGATTCGCCTCGAGAATCGATAGGAAAAAATATCGTTTTGCGCGAATCTAATCTTACATACCGACACTATCGTAAATTCGCAGGAGCACAGATGCACACGCCGATTACACACTGATCGGAGCGGAGAAACAAGCACTCCGGATCCGTGAACGACCGACCGTAGAGTGCGGCGTCGTTTGCTTCAGAGCAGCGGCTGCTCCTTGGCTATCTCGAGGTCGACGGTGGTGGAAGCAGCAGTGGGGATCGTCGGCGTGAACACTCACGCTGTTCCACGAGATGGGGGGGTGCATTGTTGGCAGGGCCGTCCAGAAAATTTCACCCTTTACTGCCAAAAAAGAGATATGATATGATATGGAATTTGCGATATCAAAATATAATTTTAATTTCTTTTCTCTCTCTTTCATAAAAATATAAAAATTTTAAACAATAATGTACGTGTGATTTATGTTTATATTATGAACATGTGAAATTCGAAACAAATATAATATAGTGGATGTAATCTAAAATCAAATGTGTATAATTTTATAAAAATAAAATATATATTTTGATTTCCTTCTCTATTATTTGGTAAAAAAATTAATATTGTAGAAAAGTCAATGCATAGTTTTTAAATGATTGTAGATATTTGTTACATATAATAATTATATTTGGATTCCTGAAACCTATTTCTGAAATTTATATTGCAGATATAAAAGTTTCATCCACCAATCACTTTATCCAGGGTGTCCAAAATTATTCAACCGGCACTAGCAGTTAGTCGACCTTTGTCGCCCGCAACGGAAACGACCAATGGACCAAATATATATGAAATATGTATATTTGTGTGCGAACGCGCGTGTATGTGCGACGTGCGCATCTTCACGAATATTTGAGGAATGCTTACAAACTCATTATGGCGATAACTTTATGAGATAATATTTTAAAGCTAAGGAAAGTAATTATGTAAGACAAAGTTAATAAGTTACATAAAAATATAAAGCGAAAAAATAAAAATAGCTATATTAAAATATTGCGTAAAATATTAAATAACTATTTTATTAAATGTTTTCTCATATAAATGTTTTTATTAATTCCTATAACGCACGTTATGCTTGTTATATATTTTTCTAAAGATTTGTTCAATTACTTTAATATATATATAATTACTTAATCGTATATGTTTTTAATTCTTTCATTTTATTTTAATCGACAAAGTGTAAAATATTTTGAATACTATACCGTATATAAAAAGTGGCAACGTAAATATATTATATTTTATTTAAAAAAAAATATGTTTTTTTTTATTTATTTATATTTTATTTATGAAATAATACATTATTTTAGAGCATTAACATAATTTTATATCCAGAAACATTATATCTTATGCCACTTCATTCGTACAGATATTATTAATATACACTTTTCAATATCACTTCTTGATTAAATTTATAGAGTTTATAAATGAAACGAATTTAATTACTCTAAAAGCGATTAAACCCATGTAATGTATTATGATCGATCGAATATAGATTTTCAATCTGATTAATACAAATATATTAATATGATATAAAATGTATGATATAAAATATATCTCTGTTAATTTGATATTATTTTGACTTTAAAACACAAGATTCTTTATCGTGATTAATTACTTACTTGAAATATTTCCTTAATCAATTTAATAATTCAAGTACTTCTAGTAACCTAAAGCGAAATTTATGACGCTCTCAGAGCGAGCTTGCTTTACTCGAAAATACTATTATTTAAATGTTTCAGATTGAATAAAATGTATTTTTGTTCATAATTTTAAACATTGTAGTCTTAAATAGAAAAAATATATATAATATATATAAAAATAATACCTTGCAAAAGAGAAGATGCAGTTAATTGTTCCGAAAATCGAAAGTTTGAAAATGAGTAAGATGTCGCTGCGATCAACATGCGCATCTATAGTGAAAGTGAGTTCAGAAATTCTACTCCGAATAAAGTAGCTTTTAATTAACCAATCAGAAGCAAAGATTTCTTTGTCTTGATTGGTCAATTAAACATTACTTTACCCCAAGGTAGAATTTCCGAACGCATCTTCACAAGCTAAATCACTCTGACCAACTGTCAAAAATTTTTGTTGTTACAGCTGTTACAGTATCTTTTGAAATTAGCTGTCAAAATGGTAAATAAAGATCAGATGAAAAGGGATATAAAAGAACTGTGCAAAAATGATAAATATTCGATTCTACTTCCTACTTATAATGAAGTGGACAATTTACCGATAATAATATGGCTTATTGTGAAATATATGGAAGAGAGGTAGATAACTCCATAACCTTAAAACAAATAGAAACAACATGTCATTAATATCAATAAAAATCAATAGATAAAGACACAAATGTATTAAAATTGAAAACAGTTATTAAGCAAAAATCTTAAAATATTACAGCGAACTTGCCTATGAAATTATCGTGATAGATGACGGTTCACCAGATGGTACTCTGGATATGGCTAAGCAATTGCAACGGGTTTATGGCGAGGATAAAATAGTGTTAAAACCTAGAGAGAAGAAATTAGGATTGGGAACTGCTTACATGCATGGAATTAAATATGCAACAGGCAACTTTATTGTTATTATGGATTCTGATTTGTCTCATCATGTATGTTTTATTATGATAAATACAGTTATATTAATAAGAACAATTTATATAGTACGAGCATATTTTCATGAGAAAGTCTTTACTTTTCAGCCAAAATTTATTCCAAAAATGGTGGAGCTACAACGATATCTCAACTTAGATATAGTTAGTGGTACAAGATATATACAAGGTGGTGGTGTTTATGGCTGGGATTTCAAGAGGAAATTAGTCAGTAGAGGTGCAAATTTTCTAACTCAGCTTTTGCTGAGACCTGGCGCAAGTGATTTGACTGGTAGTTTCAGGTAATTTTTCATAGACTTCTACTCATATAAGATATTTAATGATTCTAATGATTTAATGATTCTGTATTATTTTTCATCTCCTAATTTCTAGGCTTTATAAAAAAGATGTATTGGAAAAGTTGATACAATCATGTATGTCTAAAGGATATGCATTTCAAATGGAAATGATAATCAAGGCTAGGCAATTCAATTATACAATAGGAGAAGTTCCAATTACATTCGTTGACAGAGTCTATGGTCAATCCAAATTTGGTGGATCAGAGATTTTCCAGTTTGCAAAGAATCTTCTATATCTCTTTGCTACTACATGAAATCGAACATTTTTCCTTATTTCTTAGGAATAAGAAAAATTCAAATCTTTCCACAAACATCAAATTTACTGACTAAACTTTTAGATACACTTTACATTACATAAGCATTTAAATACGACCAATATATGTATGAATATAAAAATATGTATATATTAAAAATATATATATATATGTTTCTAAATATATTATTAAAATATAATATATTATATTGAAATACAAAAAAGACTTGTATTTATACTGATTATTATATCTTAATAAATGTCTGATTGTTATGAATGATTGGATGTATACACAGGTTATTATGTCGGGCATTTCTGTCACGCGAATATTTTCACGCGATGTTTTTACAATATGAACATTTTCGCAGAAAAATGAAACTACTTTAAGGCACGTGCTTCTACACGTGGTCGTAAACGATAAAAGAAGCATGCGTATATAACGATTCTTGTGGGCTCGTCTACCCTCGCCGCACCCTCTGACGTCACGCAGCCTCCATTTATTGATCCATTACGAAATTACAATCTATATTTCGACTCGAATAGAATGCAAGACGCGAATAGACTAGATTAACCAGGATGTGAACATTGATATAGTAAACAAACTTTATAACATGCAGTAACTTTTATTTATCTCAGAGATTCTCTATTATCACAACTTTCTCAATCAATTCACACATTTAATTTTTGAAAAAACCTAAACTTGAGATTTGTATGTATAAAAAGAAATAAAAATTTTATTTAATAAAACTAAAAATAAACTATTTCAAAATAATGTCCTCAAATTTCAAATAAGTTGAAAAATGAATTTTTCTGTTAAATTAAATGTTATTTTTTTTTTTAAACTAGCAATACAAAAATTTTTAATTTTTCTAAAATCTAATATAATTACTTAGCGATGTAATTAAAAAAATATAAAATTAAAAGAAATTATATAGTTTTAATTAAGGATTTTAAACATATATCATTTTAACTTCCGTGAGACTGAAAACAGCGACTTATTTCTAATTCGGAATTACTTCTCGCGAGTTAAAATTATGGAGATAAAAATAGGAAAAAACGAAGAGCAATTCAATCGCAAAATTGATCTCTTCCTCTCGCTCTCTCTCCTTGACCTTTCACAACTGAAAAGAATAAAAACTTATTAAATTTTAATTCCTGATTCTCTTTTACTCTACTCTTCTCAGAGACACTATATTCGTCAATTATATGGAAGCTTCCATTTATCCATATATTAATATTATGACGTCTTCGATATTTGCGTTATATTTATAGCAAAGACGTATATTTGCAAATATACGCATGCCTTTTTACAAGGAAAATCCCTTAACCCAGCAGAGCATAGAGAGGGTGGTTCTAGGTACGAAGCCAGTTCTGTCGCAAGCTTCGCCGCGGCCGGATGTACAAGTGGGGTGGCCTGCGCGCCGGGGCGAAACTTGCAAGCTCCCCCTTTATCGAGCTTGCAGATGGCTGTGCCTTTTCGATTTTGACGTGTCCCTCCGTGTTTCTTACCGTTCGTTCGTTCGTATTCTTCGTGCTATAATATTTCCGTCGTTTAATTCATCGTTCGCTTTATCGTTCGCCACAATCAGCATCCCTCGACATGCCCAGGAAAGTCGGATTCAATGTCGTCTATGCCACGAGTAAGGCAACCAGATCCAGAATTGCGAAATAAACCGCATACTAACCTCGAGTCGGAAAAGAGCTGAACATTACAAGGAGCTGAATTCAACAGATACAATTTACAACAGATGGATATAAATGGATATAATAATTCTAAAAAGTTGCTATTTAGCTATTTTCTCCAGATAGTGCAGTAGTTATTACAATAATTAAAATAGTGCGATTCGTGATTATGTGTGGTCCAATAAAAATTAGTTAAAGTTATAATTAGTATGTTCAATTAATAATTATAGGAAACAATTTGCAATAAAATTGTAGAATTTTTTCAAATTTTCTCCTCGTTATGTTCTGAAATTCACGCTTTGTGGCTCGAGTTGATGTGATTCTGAACTCTTCAATTATTTTAAATGCACGAGAGAATTTTGGCAAGAGACTACCGTGTTTTAATGCTTATCTCTCATCATATATTCTGATACATTGATTTCTTCTGCCGCAATGAGCCGCGATTACCTCAATTTGCGACGAAACATATTATTCGACACGTGTCTCCGGTCTAATCGATGCAAGCAATTTTTTGTTATACTGCAGAATTAATTATAAAAATATATTATTAATATTATATAAATGCAGAGTGGTACGATTCTGGAATGACACGTTCTATTAAATATGCAATCATAAATTGCGCACGAAACTGCAGTATTGCGTGTCAAATGTTGCGCTATTCCCCTCAAAAAATGTATTTAAAATAAGAGAAAAAATAATAATATATTAAATACTGATTTTTCTGCTTGGAAAATTGTAAATTCTGAAAACGTGAATACAATTAATTAAAATGATAAAAGAAATATTCGAAAAAATATGTGAGCACTAAGTAACAATATATCTAGGCATCATGCAACTATATGTTAATAATTAAGTAACGTATAGTAAGAACTACATCAAGTATAGTTGATTGACATTTGGCTTTGGATTGACATTTTGATTGAATGCTCGTAACTCTAGATATTTACTAACTATTATTGTAGTTATTATACAAAATCCTAGTGCTTTAATTATTTGACTCCATTAATCAAGATAATCAAGATAATCAAATTACCCTAGAGTTTCAGTGCATTTTAATCTCGTTAATTATTATTTCCTCTCACGTAACTTATATGAAACATATATTACATATATTTACATATATTTATAATATTATATACATATTTATATTTATAATATTATATTTATATATATTTATAATATATATATATATATATATATATATATATATATTTATTTATTTATTTATTTATTTATATAATAATATATATATTTATTTTTTTAAATTAAATTTAAAATAATAGAAAAAAAAATTCTCTAGAGTAATATGCAGTTTCCTAGAAAAGCTAAGTGATTTTTAGGATTTAGGATCGCATTTTAAAATTTATTTTTTAGGCGAGGAGGATAGGCATTCGTCGCTAGAACTTAATGTTCACGGGCCAACGGTAAGAGGTTGGCAAAGTGCAAGAAATTGCACATATCCTCAGGAACTGATTCTACGTCTTCATGGGCCCACGAAACTTACGAGAATACAAGTTCTGGCTCACCAATATCTTATACGTAAGTGTGCGTTTTAAAAAGCTATCCGCTATTCAAAATATTTATCTAATAAGTCATCAAATTTAACTTTCGAAAAATAATAGATGTCTTGTATTAATATTAAATTGAACTAGATTTTGAAATAAATATTTTAAATATAAATTAAACAGAGGATTTGTACATGTGAATGTAACTAATTGCAAAAGATAATATCTTGAGCTGGAATAAAAAATGTGAAAAATTCTATTTTGTCAGAGACAGAAAAATCTTATATTTGTTAATTTATAGTGTTCTAAAAGGTATTTAAGATAAGATTGCGAAATATTAATTCTATTAATAATGTACAATACAAACTTACAAATATAAGATAAATTATATATTACGAATATTACGAATATAAGTAAAATTATTGACAATTAGATAAATGTAACATTAAAAAAAACAAAGATCAACACTTAAAGTCGCTATTATCCGTTAAAATGGCATTCTAGTTAGAAAGCAATTTGCCGACAATGAAAATTGAATTAACAAGCCTGCCATAATTTCCTGAGGCTACATCGTTCCCTTTTTCGCTCGCCTGTTCCTACTACCGGAAATGAAACTGTACCGAGCGACAAGAGAATCATGTCAATTTTCAATCTGAGATTACAACGGGATAAATCTTTTCCGATAAAATTATTGACGCTCCGATAAAATTAATTTCCTCAAGAAATGTATTGTAGCGTTTATTTTAATTGCAGCTGAGAAGTTGGAGATCTGGACAACGAGGGAAGAAAATGCATCCGCTTCAACGGATTTCAGTTACCTGGGCTACATTACACTATCCGACAATGCATCGACCCTTTATAAGAGCAGAGAGTTGAAAAGCGTGGCTCTTCCTGAAACGGAAGCGCTATCATTGAAGCTCAGGCTACACAAACCGCACAGTAACGCGCACAACACCTATTGTCAGGTACGAGTTAATTGTGAATTTAATAGTTAATTGTAAAATAAACTTAAAAAGAGATATAGTATAGTTTAATAAAAATGCATAAAATAAACTAAATTAAATTAGAAGTTAATTTAGAAGAAAATTTAGAAAAGTACAGAGATGTATATTTATATTTCTTTAATTCTTTGTAATAAAGATCTAAAAATTATTTTTTTCAATCAGGTTGGTCTTATTGCTATAAATATACTTGGGGAGCCCTACGGCCAAGAATTAACCGGACAGGGAGATGCTCCATATAATCCACATTATATTTCACCTTACGACGATCTAGCATTTGAAATGTATGTTGATCGCGAAGTGGCCAAAATCATAAGGCAAATGGAAGCGAAAAAATTGCTGGCGGTGGAAGAGGAAAGATTCGAATATGCTTCGAAATTGAAAGTGGCAATGGAAAATTTAAGAAAAGCAGGGGAACGACTGGGCAAATACGAATTGGAAAAGAAGTATGCTATAGCTTTAGAAGACTATGATAAGGCTAAGGCTAAAAAGGCTCAAGCTCAACAATACAGACAGCAGGTCTATCAATCGTTGGAGATATACAACTTGCTCGAGGTTCACGGAGTAAGTAGCGTTTGCAACTTTTTCAAAATCCGCTTCTAGTGAAAATTCTGCAATAATAATAATGAAAAACATGACACAGCCTGTAGAAAAAAATAATTTATCATGCGTGGAGGCAGAGCCAGAACAGACATCGACTGACACATGTGCTTCGAAAACAGTGACGTTGCCCGACGACATCACATCTCCCCCGAGATTAGTTATACCACCTAATCGTAATGGTGCCTTGTCACCTACTGGTCCTGCACATCAACCGCCCGTGTCGCCTTTACATCAGAAATCTAATAGTCCTGGTATAATTTACTCAAGAATATCATGCGATTCTCTCTCTTTCTGTCTTTTAATATAATTTAAACTTTGAGCTTTTTAAAACTTATATACTATTAAATTTTATTTTCGTGTTTCTCAGAAGTAACCGATAGTCCTACGAACGGGGTCCATGAAAAGCAGAGCAACTGTAACAAGGGATCTCTTAGGAGAAAAACTAAATCAGCGGGCCCGGCTCTTCGCTCAAGTTACGAGGCTTATGAAGAAAGAACCATTCCCGCTCTGAGACAGTAAGATAACATTGAAATATTGTGATGATATAGAAGTAGACTAATGTAATTTTTCACTTGAATATCTTTTTTTAGCTCACATACGAATGAATTCACTAGAGAATGCCACCTGGATAGCTCAGAGATCAAAGTTACCTCGAAACTTAACGATAGAGAGAAAAAACAAGCTGCATTGCCTATCGCGGTCTTCGGGATGGACATGGTAAAAACATTATCAAAACTGTTTTCTATAATTTCTAAATAAGCGAACAATAATAGCGGTTGCATACAGGTGGAGAAATTTTATTCGAAGCAATTCACGGATAAAGAGGAAGGACTAATGCAACTGAAGGAAGAATTAAAAACGTTCGATCCGGAAGTATCGAAGCATTCTCCGAATAAAACAGCCAGGGCAGCAATTCTACTGTTGCACAGAGCTCTTAGAGACAAAGTCTTCAGCGTATATAGTTTAGCTGCACAACTTATCAGAATCTTCTTCGCTGAATTTGCCACGGATAGGTAAACTCCTCTTATTAAAAAATTACTCTTAATGTATTATAATAAACTTCCAATATTTTCAACTAATGATTTATATTTTATATATATCGATAATTTATTCAGAGTGTCCTCAACTGAGATCGCCAGAAGTGTCGAACGTTTGCTGCCGGAACTTCTGACAAAATCCGGTGATACCACCCCTAGGATACATAATATGGCAGTGCACACAATCCTCAGTATGGCAGACTGCAAATGCGTGCGAGAATTGCATATAATACCGGTGCATTTAACTAGGCCCGTCAACAGTAGCACGCATCAAAGACTAGCACTAAGCAGACTAGAGATGGTGGAGCAACTGATACTGAGCCATGGCATTTCCACGGAGAAGCAAAGGTGATTCTGAACAATATACTTAGGACGTTTCAGTCTGCATGAGAATTACCAGCTGTTTTGAGGAATCTTAGATCTCTGCTATCGAAGCGTCATTTTTAAAATTTTGATCTACTCGATTTTCAGAGGTCTTTCCTCAAGACCACATATATTAATACGCAATTACTCTGATAAGGTATTGTAATTGTTGTAGCGGGCTGACTTGTCGGACGTTATCCGAATTAGGTTCTTCCGGTTTACATCATCCAGCCGAGGCAGTGCGGAAGGTCTCCGAAAGGATTCTTGTGTTAGTATACAAGGTCAATCCTCGACTGGTGCGAAAGCAATTGCCGCCTGATGACGATATAACTCGACGAAATCTGCTATATCGTCAGCTCTTCCACGAATTCGATTTGATCGATCTTCAGGTAGGCTCGAATATATAAAGTCGAGATTTCGAATTTATGCATGCAAATGATTACAGAGGAAAAAGGAAGCCGAATCCACCCATAAAGCAACAACGACGCCTACGCGAACTAAATCTACAGAAAATAATGTAACTAATTTAACTAAATCACCTTCGAGATCGAGCCCGGTTGTAAGCACCGGAAGTTCAACGAGTATTACGTCTCCGTCCGAGAACAGTATTGATCATAAGGGAGATAAGTATGCATTCGATGCAAATTAAAATTCATAAGTTATTTTGTAATAGATATGAAACTTTTTGACATTTCTTATTCATCGCATCTTTTATTTGTCAGGATGTGCATATTTTGTCTATCAAAAGGTCAAGTCTATTCTGAAGAAGGTTTGAATATACATTATTGGAGAACTTGTCCTATGTTAACAAAATGTGAAGCATGTAAGCAAGTCGTAGAAATTTCTTACTTGAATCTACATTTGTTAAGTAAGTACATGAAAATTTTATTTTAATGACATTTAATAATCAAAAATATAACACGATAAAAAAAATACGATAAACAAAACTAATAATGTTATTTGCAATTTACATTCATTGTAGAATTACATATATATTAATACATGTAGAAAATTCTATCGACTCTTTTTTTACAGATGAATGTGATATGAGAAGTAATTATGTAAAATGTGAAACATGTAAACAGGCAGTTCATGAAAATACATTCGAAAATCATAGACAAGATAAAAAATGCACAAGTATGTGAATTTGCATTACGTTATTATCTTGATTTGCAATATTGGAAATCAATTTACAAATACCAATAAATGAAAATCAAATATGACAGAAATTTGATCTTGATTCTTGTTTTAGAACCTATAGAGGGATACGAACGCTGTCCTCTCTGTTTGGCTTTGGTCAATCAAAACAAATGGAGAGAACATCTCATGGGAGAACATCCATGTATAAATAATCCACGAAGCAAGATTGGAAAAAGTTGTAAGTTTTAACATATCTTGAATTTAATGAAAAATCTATTATTTATAATAATATAAAGATCAATATTATTTATGTAATAAAATATTTATATAGGCTATTTTTACGATGAACATAATAAAAAGGTTCTCTCTTTCTCTCTTTACGAGAATATACATGTATATATGTAAAAAATTTTTTTAAACGTATAAAAAAAGCCATAGTTTCATATAGAGTAACAGAATATATATATATATATATATATATATATATATATATATATATACTATTTTATATAATTTTAATAAAACTCGAAATTTTTATATGATTTTAGGTTCGAAATCACCATCTAATTCACAAAATCTTACCGGCAAGTTAACATCGCCAACGGGTAGGGATTACTAGCATCAGGCATCAACCTCGAAATCAACGGAGAAATTCGACAAGTCTTAGGAAGAATTTTTATTTTTTTCTTTTTATAGTTTATATATATGTTATGAGCTGTCCAGCTTTTTTTATATTTGTACTTATATTTAAATGATTTTTATAGCAAAACCCGTCCTTTATATTGGTAGAGATCCATATTGAAAGATTTTAATTGTAAGTTGAAAATCCTAATGTTTAAAATTTTAAACGACGCGCTTATATCAAGCGAATTTGTGGAAGATGACTGAAAGTCAAGGCAAGAAATATTAGAAGTTGTTAACAGGTTTCACTCTTTCTCACATCGTTATCGCATGACATCCATGACATTTGCAGGGTTACATCAATTATTAAAGGTAGTGATATTAGATGTTATAAAAACATCAGTTAATTTCGGAATTAATGATTCCTTCGCATCCGGCCATATTTATAAGAAAAATTTGTATTGTACTTTATGGCAAGATGCATTATATAGGAATTAGAAAACGGAAAGCTGCTTATCGCATGTAATTTCATAAAAGTTATTTCATAGAAAATGGACAGTAAAAGTAATCATTTTATCATCATTACATTGTCGAAATTTTTATCCTACAAATCATATTTTTTATTTAACTTATTCATAATATATTCATATCATATTATTCCAATATCAACACTCAGTGATCACTAGATCAAATAGTAAAGTAATATTCAAGTTGAATAAAAAATACAATTCGAATTTCATTTAAATGTAGCACATGGTAAAAAGGACACATATAAGAAATTTAAAAAATCGACAAGTTATAATTACATCGTAATGAACGGTTCTGGCTGACATTTCTGCGTCATCGATTTTCTTCTATATCTTTCTTCTATATTATTACCATTCCTCGTTACAATTTTTTTTATTAATCTTCAGTTCCAATATCGTTATTAGCGTCTTCGACTAATGCAGCTGCGCGATTTTCCTCGAATTTGTTTTTCTCTGCAAAAAAAATTACAATATAAATAATCGTCCTCTTCCGTACAGTATGATACTGTATTATATTCATATATCAAAACATACCAAATTTAGAACAATCTGCTCCTAAAAGCCGTAAATAGTGAATCGCGTCGCAAGTAGGCACGTATGCTCTGAGAGACATTATTCCTCTCCATCCAACCAGTTGAAGATTTAGCTGATTTATATTGTCAGTTTTCTCTTCTTTGTATAACAGTATACAACTTCCAGTTGCTTAAAAATTAAATATATTTTTCAAATATACATGTATATATTTGTGTATTATCGTGTACAAGTAAAAAAAAAAAACACAAAAGATTATTATATTTACTGAAGTCTTTGAGACGTTCTTGAGTATCTGGACTTAATTTTACAATTTCAGGTGGTGTATGTGGATTATCACTTTGTAAAAGCATTATTAAATCTTCTTTCGAAATTTTAAGCTTTCTGTTATCACTTATATAATGAATGATACTCTGCATTCCTTCTTGAGCAAGTCTAAAGGCGCAATTCATATTTTTATTGTCACATCGCACAAAAGTTTTAACGCCAGTATTAATCATTTTGACTTTATTTTCATTAGATATCACTATGTCACGAATTGCAGGTGATGTAAAGTAAATATTTTTCTTTTTTCCTTCATGACATCTTACTAACAGACATCGCGGATCCAAATCATCAGATATACCATAAAAATCTCTGAAAACATATTGAGAGATGAGATATAATATAAAAAAAAATAAATATACTAATGAAGAAGAAAAATTCAAACTCACTTAATAGATTGCCATACATCTTCTGTCTCATCCTTGAAGAAAACAAATGGATCTTCTCTGTAACCAACAATCCTTCTTCGTTTTCTTTGTAGATCTCGTGATTTCTTTTCTTCTTCTAATATTCTTTTTCCATTTTCTGAAAGCTCATTTCGTGAAGTTTCTTCTTTTGGAATGAGTTCATCTTTGTTTGCATTATCACTTAAATTCTGCACATTCTGGTTTAATATATATTCTGGTTTAATATCTGATTTAATATCGACTTCATTTTCCCATGGTAGAGATTTTACTTTCTCCAATACAGCCACGAAAAAACCTCCAGTATCTTGATGATGTGGTAATATTCTCATACTATATAATTGACAAAATAAAAAATGTATTCTATAAAAATGATATAATTTAATCTGTTAAATTACTTGGTATTTACCAACGCTCAAGATGAAATTTGGAAGCTTCGTCCACTTGTGGAGGAAACATTTTTGGTCGTACTTGAGTCTGCCATTGTTCTGGAACATCGTCCCAAGTATTATAATATTGTAAATTTTTAGATGCTGGTTTCCAGTGTGTAACACCTGAAATATATTATTTTCATATATACATTTTAAGAAATTTAAATATCCTTTTTTAAATATTTTAAATATTATTTATTTTAAGACTAACCAGGGTCACATAACAATCCTGGTACCAAGTCTCTACAATCAATTAACTGTACTGAGTCTCCAGTTTCACAAAGAAGCCTGTGAAGCACTGCTTCATTTTCTATTGGATTTAATGAACATGTAGAATATACCATTCTTCCTCCAACTATTAATAATTCTAAACCACGTTTTGCTATTCTATATTGAATTCTGCAAAATAGTTAAGATTAATTTCTGCATTATTATTCAATTTATAAATTTAAAGCAGATTGTTTGATTTAAAGCTTGTTTTTACCCATGGAGATTATTGCCATTAGCAGGACTCCATTTACACCATATATCCGGATTTTTTCTCATAGTACCATCACCACTACATGGAACATCTGCAAGTATCCTATCAAATCTGTCGAAAGACAAAAAGTTTATATATAAAAATATTTGACATATAAATAACCATTCATTACAATTTGAATTACCTACTTTAATGTATCTTTTGTACCATCTGGATTAGTAATTATAAAATTAGGCATAACAGATGAATCATGATTTGTAATAAGGATGTTTGGACTGTTTAGTCTTTTAGCTTGATGCACCAACATGTAGCAGCGATTATTGTCAAGATCATTGGCTATTACAAAACCTTCTAAAATAAGCATTTAAATATTTAATAATGCTTATTGTTTACTTATATACAATGTTTATTTCTCTTTTCAACAAAACTTATTAACTTATTAATTTATTAACTTATTAATTTATATTAATTAAAACTTAATTAATTTATATTAGCAGCTACCTGGAGGAATATTTCCTTCATCTGCATGTATCATTTCTATAAGTTGCGCTGTTTTGGATCCTGGTGCTGCACACATATCAAGAACCTATCAATAGAATTAATGTATTTTTCTGCCCATCTTGCGAACGATTTTAACAGATTTAAAAAAATACCTTGTGCGAAGGCTTGACATCCAACACTAAAGGAGGAACCATACTAACTACTTCCTGTCTGCTGATACTACCATTGTTAGTTTCAGCAATAAGAAAATTATGCAGTCTAAAATATGCTTCAGATCGTCTAATATCTTTTCTAGTTAATTGCAATTGCCATGCCAATTCTTCCGGATAAAAGGGTAAACTATGTAATATAGTCTTTACTTCACTGTTAAAATCTTCCTTATCGCCATTCATATTTGCATTTAAGATTTCTTTAAAAAAATCACTTTTAATTATCTCCAATAAGGCTTTAGCTTCAGCTTTTGAACCAGTAATACGAAAAGCAACTGGCAGATTGGTCTTCATAGTGTTGATAAACGCGTCCCATTTGTCTCCTGGAATTATTCCTTGTGTCTTATAATAATTTTCAAAATCTTGGTTCTCCCTGATAATATCAGCATAGCTTCTATGTGGAGTAATATCCCATTCATCCTTTTTCTATAAATATTAATTATATATCGATATAACTTTTTAAATTTACATTACTATCAAATATCTATCATTAAATTACTATCAAATCAGATAAGAAAAGAATTTTAAAATGTTAAACAATATAACATATATATTATACATCTACATTAAATTTATCTTACAATACATAAGTATGTGTGTGTGTGTATAAACTATAATTTCACAATATTTAGAATAAAATTATTAATCAAATATTCATAGTTTACAAGTTTTGTATAATCTCTTATTTCTTATAAAGATCAGATATTAATGATTATTAATTATACTTTTAGTTTCTCACGACGTTTTTCAGCAAAGTTCTTTTTCGGCTTATTTTTCCGTCCTTTACCCATTTTTCTTTAAAAGTATGTAGTTTGGATTAATTAACTAATAATTGCATACACAAATTTTAGAACACATTAACAGGTATTAATTTTATATGCAAATACGTAATCGTCTTATCACACGCGGTCATTCGACACGGTAGGTTAAACGATTGGTTAAACCAGGGAGAAAGAGAAACCTAAGAGCGACCACCTCTCTTTAACGCACATATTGTGCTGATGCGCCGCTTGAGAAAGTGAACTATGTCTTTACGCTCGGTAACGATACATGTGGTTCATGTCCGTGCTATGGTTCATATTCGAACTAGATGAGGTGGACAAAATCAGAGAGAAGACTAAAGGTGCGGCCTCATTGACGCTAAAAAGTAGCGTCAACCATTGGTTGAACAAAGAGGTAAGTATACTTACCTCTTTGTTCAACCAATGGTTGACGCTACTTTTTAGCGTCAATGAGGCCGCATCTTAAAGCGGCCTTTTCATTGACGCTACTTTTTAGCGTCAATGAAATTGCACCTTAACAGTTGGCAGCCCTACGAGATAGGCTATGCAGCACTGCGCGTATATAAAATAAATTTGAAATCGCTTCTAGCCATCTTCACGCGATCGACTTTATTTGAATTGCACGGTATCGCATCGAATTATGATGCGGCGCCGATTTGTTCGAACGTAATTCGGGACATCGCGATGCTGTATAAGCGTCGAATGAGCACGAATTGTCACGCAAATATGATAAATCACATCTACTCACCGTTCACCGGCTGTTCCACAGGCCGCTCCACTCGCTCGCCTCGGGACGTCCCATTCCGATCTTGATGCACACGATATCATCAACGCGAACGCGCGACACTTTATTCGGCACTCCCGATATTCGCTCGCATCCGATAATCATCATCAAGGGCGCAAATAACGCGACGCAACTTCGCTCCATCTTCGCGATCGCGCTATCACTGAACTGTGAAAAATAGCTGTCGCGCACTTTCACCGACATATTATGAAAGTCGCGCGATCATCCTTGGACACTTTCGACGCTCTTTCACTCGCGATATTCGTTTAAAAACGGTTAAAAGACGCGAAAAATGCGGACGTACGACGATCCGTGTAACTGCGTATGATTCCGATTCACGTATGACGCGTATGACGTAGCAGTCACGCGCCAACATGGCGGCCGAACCAGTGTGCAGAAACGAATGCGCACTGGTTCGGCCGCCATGTTGGCGCGTGACTGCTACGTCATACGCGTCATAGTACGTCATACGCGTCATACGTGAATCGGAGTCATACGCAGTTACACGGATCGTCGTACGTCCGCATTTTTCGCGTCTTTTAACCGTTTTTAAACGAATATCGCGAGTGAAAGAGCGTCGAAAGTGTCCAAGGATGATCGCGCGACTTTCATAATATGTCGGTGAAAGTGCGCGACAGCTATTTTTCACAGTTCAGTGATAGCGCGATTGCGAAGATGGAGCGAAGTCGCGTCGCGTTATTTGCGCCCTTGATGATGATTATCGGATGCGAGCGAATATCGGGAGTGCCGAATAAAGTGTCGCGCGTTCGCGTTGATGATATCGTGTGCATCAAGATCGGAATGGGACGTCTCGAGGCGAATGAGTGGAGCGGCCTGTGGAACAGCCGGTGAACGGTGAGTAGATGTGATTTATCATATTTGCGTGACAATTCGTGCTCATTCGACGCTTATACAACATCGCGATGTCCTGAATTACGTTCGAACAAATCGGCGCTGCATCATAATTCGATGCGATGCCGTGCAATTCAAATAAAGTCGATTGCGTGAAGATGGTTAGGCTAGAAGCGATTTCAAATTTATTTTATATACGCGCAGTGCTGCACAGCCTATCTCGTAGGGCTGCCAACTGTTAAGGTGCAATTTCATTGACGCTAAAAAGTAGCGTTAATGAAAAGGCCGCTTTAAGATGCGGCCTCATTGACGCTAAAAAGTAGCGTCAACCATTGGTTGAACAATGAAGCAACTATACTTACCTCTTTGTTCAACCAATGGTTGACGCTACTTTTTAGCGTCAATGAGGCCGCACCTTTACACACTGAAAAAGTTGAAACTGTTTGAACTTTATTTTATTGACGCCATATCTAGAGAAAGTCTAGTGATTTGCCGCTGGTTTCTAGCGTCAATGAAATTGCACCTTAATGAAGCCCAGTTCCACAATCCAGTTAATCCGAGTTTAAGTAGTGAATGAACTAATCAGGGCCCAGTTTAACGTATTAAACTCGGATTAACTCGAGTTGTGGAACCGGGCTTTAGAGTGAACTAAATAAATAAATAAATAAATAAATGATGTTGAGAAAAAGAAAAAGAAGACATATAAATAAATAAATAAATAATAGCATGAAAAGAGAGAACATATTAATATTTTTATACATATAATAAATTATTATTAATTAAATTATTTATATTTTTATTTATATTTATATTATCAGAGGGAGATATATGTTCTCTAAGAACATTCATGTCCATGTTTTTAATATCTATAGAGAGAGTATCCCAAAGATCACCTAAAAGTGGGCCATGACCATGGCCATGACATCTCGATCAGTCTTCTCTCTGACAAAAATCAACAAACAAGAATAGACAATCAATCGCGCTGATTTTGACTCACCAATAATGAGCAAATCATGCGGTGGTAGATATGAGACGAGCTAGCGACAATCTCGTATTTATTAAAGAACATGTTTTTTAATAAAATCTTTTGTTTATTTACTAATTTTTATTTATAATTATTTATGATTTTTAATAAAATGTAAATAAAATGAGAATAAAAAGCCATTTTTTAACATTAAATCTTTTAATGAGATCGATGAGTCGCCCAGTAGCGCGTTTATCTTGACGTGATTTTTTATTTTTTACAATATACTACCATCTAATCAATAAAAAAGAAGAGAAAAGAAATGGCACTTTATAATAATTTATATTGGCTTCTGTCGTATCAGGGACAACTTTGTCACTATGGATGATGCAGATATTGAGGATCTGAGATGCCCTAGCAGAATCATACGACAAATGGGTACATACATATCCATTTTTTATTTTTGTAAAACACTTAAATATTATAAAGCTATAAAATCAAAATATTGTCCAGAGAATTGATTTAATTCACGGTTATCCATTTAAATCCTTTTAAAATTTTAATAGAATTTTATTTTTAAAATTTTAATAGAATTTTATTTTCATATATATATAATTCAATATATACATTTATCCAAGTAAGAAATAATTGTACAATATTGATCTGAATTATAACAATCACAGTTAACTACTTTCGAGAACTAATGAGTCACTTTATTATATATATAATTTGTAATCCTGTTTTTAATAAAGATAAAGATTAAAAATTAAGTTAAAAATAAAAATTAAAAATTGGATGCTAATTAATGCTAATTTTTTGATACTATCGACCTATAATATTCTAAAAATCTTTTATTTACAAAATTACAATACGCCAATTCTATGCAATTAAAGAACAAGGCCTTGATAAGAAAGTCCATCAGAGTCTGCTGATTCCATTCTATTTCTTAAATGTTCCAATGTATTTGCCAAATGTTTTTGTATTTGATCAGTTTCCTCACTTGCTTCTAAATTAGGAAGCTCTTCTCTAATTTTTGCAATTACTTGATTCAATATTTGCACAGTCACCTAAAAAATAATCAAATTAAAAAGGACAACTTACATAAAAAATAAATTGATATACTATTTTGTGAATCTTACAGCAGTATTTCCTTTCTCGTAGAAGTAAATGTAATGATTCAGCAGTTCTACATACAATTGCACTTGCACCGATGTATCCATGCATTGGCTCGCTATCCTAATACCTTTTTTCAAGCAATCTAATACTTTACCACCTTCTTGCATCTGAAATTATATTTCTCATGTAATTTATCTCTCAAATAATCGAGACTATAAATCGATGTATATTCTTATGTACCTCTTTTCCACCTGTAGCTAAAGATTTTCCTGACCAAAATATATGTGAACAAGTAGCGACTCCTCTACACTGATCAGGTTTTCTCAATAATTTACTAGCATACAAAGCGCATTGATTACGCACAGGTTCTGCGTTTTCTTCACCAAAACAGCTCATTTGTTCAAACGTAGCAATGATCAAAGTGATCGCCGCAAGCTGTGCCTTTGAATCGCTTATTTCATCCTCATATATTGAAAATGCTTGACTCATAAATTCATAAGCTACCATCTCAAAATTATCAAAACGGATTTCGCCGATTGCTATTGCACCTTGCAGAAATAGTCTCAAAGGTAATTCGGCTAATTCAGCCTTCATCAGTGCAGTGATAGTCGTATGACAGAATTGAAAAATTTTTTGACATTTTTTTTGCCACATTTCATCCTGAAAAAGAATGTAACGTCAGTTGATAGTTATGACAATGATCTCATTTTAGATATAGAATTACAAACCTGATCTTTCAATGCTTTATATGTAAAGGCCAATTGATAACTTTGAAAGATTATAGGCGGCAAAGTATACTTAATTCTTTTGTTACCACCAGCACTGAAATGTTTCCTTGCAGCACTTAATATCATATATTGTTGATCCGGCGTTTCCGATTTGAAATGATGTATTAGTCTGCCAAGCAGACCTTGTTCCTCAGCGAAATCTTCAGGATCTTCTTCTATGTTTGGTTGATCCGGCTGATCTTGTACCAATGGAGCTACCATAGAGAGCACTGCATCCACTTGTTCTTGCATCGGTATCAATGTTTCGTTTTCCAAAATATTTGTGATTATGTATATGGCTAGCGATTTTCTACCCTCATAATCAAAATAATCCAAAAGAGGCGCATAATGCTCAAGTTTAAGCACAGTTAATATATTTTTATAATTATCTACAGGAATTTTCATTAATCTTACTAGTTCTCTTGAAACGGCACTATTATATTCCAGCCTGGGAAAAAAACAGATGTTTAATGTACAAAATATAAAAATAGCTGCCCCCCAACATTTATAATAAATTGCTCTTAAACTTACTTATCAACATTTTGTTTTTGGAATATTTGAACTGTTGTGAATAAAACTTTATCCACATAATCTACCCGATCTGGATAGCATTTATGTGCTAAGTTTATGAGAGCTACTTGAAGAGATACAATATCTTCAGGAGGCATATCTTGCCTTGTCTATAAAAAATATATCTAATCAAATAAATAGTACAAATACTTAAAGTGTAATATGTGAGATATCTTGGAATCATTCTCAGACTTAAACTAGATGGTAAGGAATTTCTTTCTATCATAGAATTGTCAAATATTGTGCAGTATCTAATCATCACTGAACAGCCATTAATACATGTAATAAAGTTTATTCTATTTAGTGGATACCTGTATAATAATAGCAATCTGATCGCTAAATACATCAAAAAGTTTGACATCTTGTGGAATTCCTGAGACTTGATTAGGACTTCCCGGTCCTCCTACGCCATCAGATCTTTGACTAAAGGCTGCAAGTCTATCGATTAATGATATAATAATATTTTTAACATTCACTCCATTTTGCAATTCTGCACAAGACTTTAAGAATGCATTTAATGTTTGTAAATGGAATTCATCAGGAAAGACCTAAATATAATTTAAAAAAAAAAACAAAATTATTTTTTTCATTTTTATTATTTTTAAGATAAAATATTTGTGGCATATAAAAAAATATACCTGAATTATACATTCCATAAGATATTCCTGTGCTATGGCATCTCTACAGCTAACAACCTGTTCCAATATTCCTGGTAGTACAAGCTAAAATATATTTGTAAATATAATTTTAATAAAATTCGATTAAAAAAAAATAAAAAGATTTTGTGTATATATGTGGATGTAATATACCTTTTTATATTTATCCAATGTTACAGATTCCAATTGACTAAGTCGTACAAGATTTGTTCCCACAAGAATTCTAAGTTCTTCCCTTTCTCTTTCTCTTCTTTCTCTATCTCTACTATGACCTTGATGTTGCATGCGTACCCATAATTTATTCATTTCTGCAAAATTCATCAGAACAAAATCTATGCTGTCACGAACCTAAAAATAAAGTTTTAAAAATAACAATGTATGTAGAAAAGAAAGATTTCATTATTTATAGGATACATACGGTCCCATCTTCATCATCACCTTCAGTGACATCTGGTAAAATGTTCCTTGTGCATTGTAGCAAATAATTTCTTAAAAATAAACCACGTAACGGATGTTGTACACCTCTGCACATTTCTACAAGATCTCTTAAAAGATCCCTTTTTAAACCAGGAGTTGTTTTGATATAAACCAAACCAACAGTAATAAGTAAGTAGCTGTAATGTTTATTAGATTATCTCACTTTTCACAATCAGAAAATGATAATACAGAGTTTTATAGCAGATAGCAGTTTGAAACAGATACGTACAGTCTTGGTACAATATTGCCAACATATTGTACTAATTCGTAAAGATCTGTAACCTTTCTTCCTTTTTGAAATTCATCCAACAAATAAAGTTCTAAGTGTCGTAGTTCATCTGTTATTGCCATATCTAATAATAATTGTTATAAGAAATATCTATATCTATATCAAATATACCAAAGCCAAATACTTGTATTCAATGTTATAAATCAGAAAGTCATTGAAATTAAATAATTAATAAGGATACACAACTCATAATAGCTCTTTGGACTAAGAAGAGAAGTCCTCAGTTCTCCTAACATAGTGGAGGCATGTTTTAGCGCATCCATCAGTTTAGCTTTGTCCAAACAATGTTTCATCTGAAAAGCTTGAACTTTAACCACCCCGATAGCATCTTCCAACAACTTCTCTTGCTCCTCCATTCCTGTTATGGCAGGTGTCATTGGCTGCGAAAAAAATAAAGATACCTACCAGGGGGACACCAGGTAGTACCACACTAGGTAAGCCATACAACTCAAGCATGCACTACAAATGCTTAACCATTGGAGATACATTACTTGAAACAAGCTATTAAAATTATCTCCTCGTGATTAAAGATAGACATTGAAAGGCAAAATCTATTTTTTAGACACATATTAACACAATATATCAAAGATTAATACTTTCTATATAAATGCACATTTATCTACAGTAAAAACACAATAATGTATAAATATATTGAAAAGTGATATATATTTGGAAGTAATTTTCTTCTAATATAACATAGGATACATTAATTATAATGATATGTGATAAGATTGAAGCGTATAAAAAATGTCTTTACAGTTTTTTGAACGCCAATTAATTCGCATAGAAACAAGAAATTAATTTTTTATTAATAGATAATTTCTTTAAATTAATTCTTTTATTTTCACATATTATTGCCTTTTGAAAAATCTTCGCAAAACAATTTTTTACAAATTTTTTGCAACATATAACCTTTACAACACTAAGCTAATTTTCATGCGACAATCACCACACGAATATAATCCACAACGGAATATTTACTTTTGCGAGCAGCATTGCAAAATATTTGAAACACTACGATTCTTACCATTTTCTTGAAAAAAGTACACAATTAATCGTCGTGCACTTCCGACTTCCGATACTCGTTTTGACAAGACACCAGACACGTTCAGCTTGGCTAGAATTCCATATGATTCTATAGAGATCTCTGATTGGTTTTGATAGATAATTAATTTACGAGTATGTGTTTCAACTTGAATGCAAATACATAAATTACAAATTAAATTAATAAAATTAAGATAACTAATTCTTCTTATTTGAAGTAAAAAATAAAATTAAATAATTTGTAACGGCAAAAAAGAATAAAATACAATAATAATAAATAATCGATAATTTTCGTAAATTATAATAAAAGACACTACATATATTTAATTAATGTTAGATAGAGAAGAACATTTACAACAAAAAAATTGTACAATTCATACCTTTCTCAAATTAATAATATTAATATTTTTATAAATTAAAATAAATAAATATTTTTATAAATTAAAATATAAAATTTTTAATATTTTTATAAATTGAAATGCAATAAGGAAAGGGGTATAATATTATATAATGAATATATACAAAACTGAATTACATATAAATGTATTTATTATATATAATCTAATGTATGCTGGGCTATGTTGGATTATCCAAAGAATGTGAATTTGTAGGTATCTGTTCCTAATGGATAAATAACCTTTCTATGAATCAATGCCAACAATAGCGCGAGGCAATTGTAAAGTATAAAATATTATTTAACCTTCAGTGTTCTCATATACGCATCCAACTCATCTTCTGATTCGTTTTGATCATTATATTCATTAAGTGGAAGAACAATTGCAGGGTCTTCAGAATCAAAATACTTTTCTTCTTCGTCTTGATTTTTTAATTCTACATTATCATAAGCTTCATTATCATCCACAGTGCTGAAAATATATTAAGAAAATATCTGATAAAAACAATTGTTATCTTTAAATATCTAAAAATATTCTGTAGCTTTCTATTTATTTAAAGCTATTGTAAAAAATAAAATATGACATATATGTGCATAATGGGAAGGAAAGATATATACATATTTTGTATTCAAATTCATTTTAAAAACTATTTTATGGATATAAATATAAGTTAATATTAGTTTATATCTTTCATAAAATATTTGTATATATATTTTAAGAAAAATCATTATGCATATATAAATATATAAATTTTGGTTTAATCATATAAATTATTTTAAATATGTTATTAATTAAATTTTAAATATATATTATTAATAACCTCTTTCATTATATAAACTGTTATTAATATAAGTAAAAAATATAATATATTTGGAAACTTCCCCAGATTGTATTTACATTGTGTGATTAATATAACAAATATACCTATAGTCAAAATCTCTATCTTTACCATCCAGGAAACTCTCATACATATTTGTAATAAACTCTTGCCTCAGTAATTGTATTTCTTGATTTGATATTATATTATTTGATAGTTTTTTATGTTTGCCTTTGTCAATTATTTTATTTAAATTTTCACCCCAATGAGAATTAAGCTGTTTATTAAAGTTTGTTTCAGATATCTCTCTACTATTATCATCTTCATCATCATCATCTGAATCATTCTCCTCTCGTACTTCATTCTCCTCTTCCTTTTGAGATTCCAGACGCTTTTGCAGTTTGTCCCTTTCAACAGTCTCCATAAGTATATCAATATAATTTGCACGTGTATCAATTGCGTCTCTAGTTTTCTTTTGCTCTTCTGTCAGATACTGTCCTACCAAATGTTCATACAATAATGGATTCCTCTTCATCATTTCGCATTCGCTGAAATATTCTCCTTTCTCTATCAATACCTTCAAAGCTTCATATCTTTTGTTCCTGACATCAATACGTCTTGTAGAATTATTAAAATATCTCTGCAGTCTATTTATATGATAAACCGTCTCATAATCCTCACTTTTACTAAAATATTCCAAGTGCTCCACTTTTAAATAGTGTCCAAATTTGGATAAGAATAAGCAGTGATTCTTTTTCAACAAGTTTTCAGCTGTGGCACGCTTCTCCTTATACGTTAATTCAGGTTCTCCCTTTTGCTGACTCTTAAAAATTGCTTTGCTGTTGGCCACATGATTTAGGATCTCCTCCTCAAGAGTATATTTTGCATCTACTATAGGAAAATCGGTGCTCTGTTTTTTGGTACTATTTTCATTCTCATTACATGATATATCTTCTTTCATTTCCACGATCATATTCCTTTCAATTTGTGATTCTTCGGCCTCTTTCATCAGGAAATTATATTTAATTCAGGAAATGAAATGGACTTGTATACGTCGACTTATCAATCAGATTTATATCATTCGTATTGTAGTCTAGTACAATAGAGAAGAGCTCGATCTAAATTATGCACACAAAGAATATGTATATATATATATATATATATATATTCTTTACATCACATTTACTTTGTTATTTCTCGAGAGATTACACTTGCATTTCTTTATTGTTGTCACTGGCGATAAATAAGATAAAGAACGTGATTTTTTTATCTAAATATATATGTTCGCGTATATATTCTCTCATATATTTTATTTTCAATACTTTGCAAAATTCACTGGACAATCAATCGTCATTCTAAGTTTGCATCACACTATGCGTCATACTGTCAAGGGGAACTTAACCTGTGAATGTTCGTCGATATGAGAGCCCAGAAACAAGATATAATGCAAACGAGAAATCGTGATAAATATTATAGTGCTTATTAATATTGCGTGCTTTAGTATTTATGGCTTTTTAATTAACAGGTAAATGTTTGCATAAATTATGTTGTTTACTAATATCTCATTACCATCTTATCTGCTTATAATTAATTATCAGTTAGATCAATCGCACTCGATGGTGTCATTTTATACAATTTTTAATCTCTATAGTGTAACGTATCACTGTGATTTATTAACTATGCAATTTAATAAAATACCATATTGAGTATATTTGTAAGTAAAAGTGATATAAAACTTTGGAAACTGTAATATTATTAAACAAGATAACACAAATAATGTTTTATATATATATATATATATATATGTTTATTTTGTTTAAATATTCTTTATTTCATTTAACTTATTTTTAAGACATTTTTTTTATATTTTTGAATATATATATATATATATATATATATATATATATATATGTATATATATGTATAATAGCTTTATCATAATTTTGCATATGTTATTTATATTTAGTGTTTCAATCTGTTTTATTATATTTCCAAAAATATTTGTCTAACCTATTGAAAATGAACAATTTCTTATTCATGAATTAATTTTAATTATAATTTCTAGTATGGCAGAGAATTGGTTGAATGACGTAGAAAGATGGAAGTGGAATTGGACCGAATTATGTGGATCTAGCAAAAATATTAATCCTTTGAATCCGGAAACACATGACTTGGATGTATGTTTTCAACAGCTTTGTCTTCAGGTAATACGATCAAGTTTATTTTGCATTAAATTTGAAAGATAAATTAATGATTGATTTTTTTTTATCAAATTTATTTCTGAACTTTCAGATACCAGTATTAACTCTCATAGCTGTTGTCTCTGCATATTATTGTGGAAAAACAAACATATCTTCATCTCGACATCAGCACACTTACCATGCTATAAATATAAGAATTCTTATTACTATATGTCTTGTGATACTGCCTATCATAAGGGCGTATATTATTTTGACTAATACTACTATTTCTTTGGTGCATGATGAAGTGCAAGACTATAGTACACCAGTACCAAAAAGATTGAACATTTCCACTTATAGGAATATAAATCCATCTTTAGATGAAACAGATATTGTAAACAGAATACGTGATGGATTAAATCATACTATTAGATTTGCTAAATCAATTCTGTTGCCAGAGAGTAATGTTCAAAATACTACTGTAACTCCTGTTGCGCCTTCTATCTATAATTATGAGACGACACCAAAAATTACTGACAAATTTACTTCTGCTAAGCCAGTGGATTATTTTGTAGCAGGTACTGAAGGTTTAGCATGGGTTATGCATCTTTGTTTTATTTTAAGCTTGAAACGTGGACGAAATCCTAATCCACGAGGACCGGTATTAATACGAGCATTGATATTTCTTTTGATCGTTATTTCTGTGCTACTGTTACACAGTCACATCGATAATACGCCCAAAAATGATGTTTTGCCAAACTTATCACTAGGTTTTAGTATCAGTGTAGTTACTCTTTTGATATTGTATACAATAACATTGATACCGGGTGCCAGGCCGGAGCGCACAAGGGTATCATCTCGAAATGTCACAGTAAGCTATTATCACAGAATTGCCTTGCATTTTCATTAATCTCTATTTCTGGTCCTATTACGATTTTCCGAAAATATTTAAATTGCTTGGAATATTACTTAATTAAAATATTATTCATGATATTTAAAATCACTGCATTATTAATAAACAAAGATATTACAGTGACATAACAATGTATTTCTAGATAGGAGAACGCACTGCTCTACTGGGTAGTCCTAGTTCCTCATATGTACAATTTCCAGAGGAACAGGACTCAAATTACCTTGGAGTTGCTATGGAAGATGTTACTATGATTTCTAAGTTTTTGTTCCATTGGGTAACACCATTAATGGAAAAAGGCGTTAAGGGGTTATTAAATCATTCTGATGACTTATTTGATTTACCCTATCAGATTAGTACCAATGCAATTAGTCATAAAATTGACAAACATATAAATAATATGGTAAGCAAACATCTAGGACATTCTATAGTTTATTTAACAATATAACTTTTGAATATTTTAAGCATAATAATTATTTTATAAATTAGTTTTGTAATAATAATAATAATAATAATGTTGCAGCCGAAAACAACAAGAAATGGAATCGAAAATAATTCAGAAACATTGCTTCAGACAAATGTAAAAATAATTACAAAAAAAGTAACACTGTTTTACTTGCTGCATAAATGTTTCGGCTGGGAATTTTATGCGGTTGGAATATTGAGATTTATCGCAGATTCCAGTTCATTTATGGGACCAATATTGCTAAATAGATTGATAAGTTTTATTGAAGATAAAAATGAGCCAATCTCACATGGATATTTATATGCATCTCTTATAATATTTAGCGCTATAATTGGTAATTATAAAGTCAAATTTAATTTCAATGTTAAATATATTTATTACATTCATTATATAACAGCATAATATTTATATATACATACAGGTGCCTTTTGTAATACTCACTTTACATTCTGGATGTCTATTGTCGGTTTGAAAATTCGCTCTGCAATTATTACCTTGGTTTATCAAAAAACATTGCATTCTTCTAATATCGACTTAAATTATAGTTTTAATTTTGGTGAAATTGTTAATTTTATGAGTACTGATACTGATAGATTGGTCAATAGCTGCCCTAGTTTTCATACATTTTGGAGTATACCATTACAGGTAATTACATGATAATAATATGAATCTAATACATTTTTTCTATCTATCTATTTATCTATATATATATATATATATATATATATATATATATATATATATTATTAAAAGAATATATTTTTTTATATTTTACACTTTTTATATTTTACAGCTTTCTTTATTACTACTTCTTAAAAATATGGTGTTTATATTTTCAGTTATTCGTGACGCTCTATCTTCTACATAAGCAAATTGGTGTTTCGTTTTTGGCTGGTGTTGCATTTTCGATAATACTTATACCAATTAATAAGATCATAGCAAATAAAATCGGTAAGCTTAGCACTAAATTGATGGAATATAAAGATGAAAGAGTAAGGCTGATGGGAGAGATATTACGCGGAATAACTACAATCAAGGTTAATGTGTGGGAAGAACATTTCTTACGGAAAATTTTCAGTTAGTATATTTTCATATAGATAAATTTAAGAAAAAATTTCTTGCACTTAAATATATTTATCTAAATCTTTTTTTCTTACACAGAGCTAAGGGAGAATGAAGTGAAATATTTACGAGGTAGAAAATATTTAGATGCTCTTTGCGTTTATTTCTGGGCAACTACACCTGTTGTCATTGCGATATTAACATTTACAACATATGTATTGCTTGGAAATGAATTAAATGCTAAAACGGTTTTTACTAGTATGGCATTATTGAACATGTTAATAGGACCTTTAAATGCATTTCCATGGGTTTTAAACGGTCTTACAGAAGCATGGGTATCTCTTAAAAGAATTCAAAAAATGCTGGATGTATGTATATTTTGAAATTATAATACAAAGTGCAAACACTTTTATTGTTTTATTGTTAAACTCAGTTTCTATTCTATTAATTTAGTTACCTGATATGGATGCATCGTTATACTATACAGATATTACTCCTGATGTTGATCTATTACTGCAAAATGTGACACTAACTGTAAATCGTCCAAAGCATAATGATACTGCAAGTCCAAGAACTATAATCTCTCCATCTTCGAGCACTGACATTAAAAAAAGTGTTACCTTCGAAGATGACGATGTCTTCGCCTTACATAATATTAATTTATCTGTACAAAAGGTAAAAATAAAATTTATAATATTCTCTTTGAATGTAAATAAATATTTTCTTTTTTCACACAGGGACAATTAATCGGTATCATGGGTAAAGTTGGAAGTGGGAAATCTTTACTTTTAGATGGCATTTTAGCGGAAATAACAAAAACTAAAGGAATAATAGCAGTTAATGATGATCACAGAGGTTTCGGATATGTAAAACAAAATCCTTGGCTACAACGTGGTACAATCCGGGATAATATTCTTTTTGGAAAATCCTATGATCATAATAAATACAAGTAGGTATCAAGCGTCTTGAAATTGATGATATTAAATTTTTGTATTTTTTGTATCTTATATTAAATTTTTTATCTTATATTTTATGATTGTATAATAGGAACATTTTGAAGGCTTGCGCTCTCACGTCCGATTTGAATTCATTGCCTAATAAGGACTTAACAGCCGTTGGTGAAGCTGGGAATACTTTGAGCGGCGGCCAAAAGACGAGAATTTCTCTGGCTCGTGCTATATATGCGGATAAAGATATTTATTTACTAGATGATATATTAGCGACATTGGACGTTAAAGTTGCTAAACATGTATTTCAACACGTAATTCTAGGCTTGTTACGAAATAAAACCAGGATATTATGCACGCATCAGATTCAATATTTGATCCATGCAGATGTAGTCATTGAAATGTCAAAAGGAAAAATTATTAATCAAGGAAAACCGAGTGACGTTTTGCCCGATCTGGAAGATTATCTTTTATCGGAATCCATCGAATCCGACTTGGATATCGCGTCTATGAAGATAATACCCAATGAATTTAATCGATCGGAAAAGAACGAGATAGATCCGCTACTTGAAAAAGAAACTACTGAAAAAGGAACAGTACGCTTCTCAGTATACATGTATTATGTGAAGGTCATAGGACAATACTTGGCAATCTCAATATTTCTCTCTATGATTCTAATGCAAAGCTCAAGAAACATTACGGATTTATGGTTATCATATTGGGTGACT